TTCTCTTGGGTAATCCAGGAATTTGATTGTCCACCGTCAGGTTGTATTGATAGTCTGTATGGTGACACTATAGGTGTTCACTGGTCTAGGCTTTGTGCCTAGTTTCTTTTTGTTGTGTTTTTGTTTTAATTTCCTATTATTTCCAAAAAAAAAAAAATTAGTTAATTCAAATCTTTAATTTCTTGCTTTTAATTCTTGCAATTAATTAGTTTTAATATTTCAAATTTCAAATTCAAATCCTGTTACCGATACACTACACTTTTGATTGTCCAACTTAAGTTGCGATAGTGAATTAGTGCTTGAGTATAATCCTCGTGGGAACGATCTCTTATTCAATCATTATATTACTTGTACGATCGGTGCACTTGCCGTGAGTCGCAACAACTATTTTAATAACAAAAATATAATTTCGTATTTTGGGTATAACTTGAGCTATTCTTGTTCTATTGATATGATCTTGATCTCGTTGGCAAGACAAAAGAGAGATATACAACTTCTATGTAGAATACAAGATCCACATCTATCATCTTGGATACTAAGTTGGCCGGAAGATAGATTTATGGAGATTTTCACTAAATGACTACTTCTCATTAATCTTTTTAATTCCTTTTAACTTAACCACTGTTCCAATATTCCAATTCAATTCAATTGTCCTACAAAACAAGAAAAAATCATTCAAATAAGTCAATATTTTAAAGTTCATGCTTTTTAGATTAATAACTATAAGTTTTCGTGCTTTTGACTAGATGTAAAAGTTATTTTAATCCTTTAAAACATTATAAACTCATAGTTTATCACATGCCTAACGTATCAAATAGTTAGAACTTTTGTTCGTCTAGACGGTGTAACAAGTTAGTATTTTTGTTTGCCGAGACTTGCTACGACGAGTTAAGACTTTTGCTCGCCTAGACTCACCGTGATGAATTAGGACTTTTGTTCGTCTAGGCTTTGTAACGATTTAGCGAGGCGGAATCACGATTTCCTGGAATATGATAGAGAGATGAGTTTTCTGGGAATCTTAGCAAAAATGTGTTTGGTAGACTAAAATATTTTCGGAAATATTAGATTAATTTTCTTAATACTATGTTTAGTTATATTAAATTTTCTCTTGTCATATAAATCATAGAATATCATCTCCTGGATAGTATTTTCAAAAAAATTTACACACAAAATAAAATTCCGGAAAAATCAGATTCCCGAATTTTTTTTTAAAAACTTGTCCCAAAACGTGGATAAATATGATTACCACTCTCAATTTCTCGAAAATCCTAAAAAATACATCGTAATAAACGGTGCTAGGAATTTTATTTGCCTAAACTCGCCTAAGCAAGTTAAAGCAAGTTAAGAACAACCTCTAATTATGTCCCGGTAATTTCGTGGGACCGTGTACGTGGAAAGGTGAGCATTGAATACAAATTGGCGTGGGATCTGGGGAGAAGGAGAACAACTGATATATCTTATATGCTACATGATTTTTCTTGGTATGTTATATTAGGTATCCAGATGATTTGATACCAAAATCACCTCAAATTTAAAGCGGCAAGCAGTATATGCTATGAATGACATATTCAACCTAAAATTCGTGGCAATATAATAACCTGTCGACCATTCAATGACTCAGTCGAACAGAATTGCAAATACCACATCCCTCATTTTTTTATTGAACAAATAATTGTATTTCGAATTGACGTTTACCAACAAAGATCTTCCACATGACAGTCAACTTTCAACATTAAATATTTATTTATATAATTTTTCATCCGTTTCTTTATATAACTGGATACGTGGTTTTATATAAATTTAGGCCATCTGTTTTAATGTATTAATATTTTTTAGGAAATAATATAATATAAAGAAATAATCTCCAATACTTCCAATCTTAATTATTGATTTTATTGATATCTAATATTTTTATTGTTAAATATACGAACATATAGATGCAAATGAATCAATACTTAACATTAAAATAAAATTTCTTATTTTTATATCATTATGTTCATACCGCTAATATAATATAATAAATTTGTTTTCACCTATTACGTTGAATTAATTATTTACACCGTTCCTCCTTATCCATCAATCTTATGTTTGGTCAAGGCAATACAAGATATACGTTTATATAATTATTGTTTTCATTTAATTTAACACATCTTAATGTTTGAACTATATAATAAAGAAAAAAAATCTGTTTATGAACTCTTTTTTTTTACAAACTTACAAACTACCTTATTCCTAATCGATAATACTCTATTCAAGAGTGTATTACCGGTTATAACAGAATGGAAGAGGAAAGACATTTTTATTTTTCTGAATTGGATTAGCGAAAAATTAGGTATCTCAATACACAAGCTTATCTTTATAAGCTTCCAGGAAAATGAATCTAAACACAATACTAATCTAACTAACTATGCCACCTCAGCAATCAGTTACATGGTTAATTAACAAATGACAGAAATAACCCTATTTGAAATAAATAGGTATAATAGGTTAGACATAACAGAGTGTAGTTTGTAAACAAAAAATTTATAAATATATAATATTTCCCTATGATAAATGAGAAAAATATTTTTGTTTTTATTGTAAAAAAATTTCTGTCACACACACATGACAGTGAGTGAGTGAGTCCCATTATGAAAAAAATGTGGCTGAAAAAAAAAATATACGCAAGAAAAACAAAAATGTTAAATTCATAATAAATTATAGGTAAACGCTAAAGCCAAAGCATTTTCGCTTTTTTAGTTTCTTTTGAGCACTAAGCCTGTAAACATTTTTTTTTGGGTGGAGACCTATAAACATCCTTTGAAATATAGTAAAGGCATGCTATAAGCATTATTCAATTTTTTTACATTTTAAAATTTAAATATTAACTCTTGGTGCAGTGGGGTTATATTCATATTTCAAACTAGAAAAATTATAAAATTCTTAACTTAAATTTTTGGGTTGTATAAATTATTTTTCCAATTTTTTTTTTTTTTTGTTATTGGTCAAGGTCAAGGCAACGCAAGGTAAATATTTATACAATCTATTGCTTTCATTTGATCAAGCATATCTCAAGTCGGAAACGTATAATTATAAATAAAGGCTGAAACTGAAGCATATATGTAAGTATTGTAATTTCTATAAAAATGAAAGGGAGACCATTGTGGCTATAACTATAAGCATGTTTCGAAATATTATCCTGTGAAAAAATTATTCGCTGAGACATTTCCTGTCCAATGACGACATCTAATGCCTATTCAGCACTTCAAAAATTGAGCAGCAATGAAAGCAAAGTTTGAAATTAGAACTACAACATTTCGTTTGCATTAATCATATGAAGTGGTCGAAATAGACACATTCCATAGACTACAACAAGTGACAACCTTTCGTTCGCATTAAGCATGTCAAGTGGCGGGGATAGCGACGTTCCTTCCAATTTTGTAATATATCTTTATCTGCCTCCTTGGGCCTTGGCCTTGGCTTCGCTCCAGATGCCGTGTCCTTTCGCTTTTCAGGACAGTTTTCCATGTCATTGGTAATGCATTTTATTATAGTACTGCACTTCATTTTATATTTAATTTTTCCTGTTAACATGCGTGTGTCTTTAGAGTTTGAAATTAAGTAATTTTAAAAAATTATCAAGCAATAATTAAAATAATTAAATAAAATATAATAAATGTTTCTTACTATGTAACTTAAGACGATTGGAATCAAAACCCTATCATATTAATATGTTGCTCTTCAAGTGCAAATTATTGACCTCCCCCCCCCCTTTAAACAAAGACATAAATAATGTTTTTAAAGATTGGCAAGGAAAACGTTGAATATAATATAATGTTACTGATTTCTTAAATTATTGAAAAATATTATTTATTTTGTATAATCATTAAAAATTAAAGATGTCACTAAACACATCTTAATTGGAGAGTTAGCTACAGAACAAGGAATTGAGTAATTTATATAAAAACTTGAATTCAAAATTTAATACTAGTACTATAATAAAAAAAACTTGAAAGTAAAATTAAGTAAAACTCTAATATTAGTACACTCCTCACAACTAACAACGGTTTTATCTTCTAAAAATTTGCTAATCCAATTCCTGAATACAAACTAATTAATCATTCATAACAATAACTACCGTTAGGACTAACGCGTTATTATTATTTTAAGTATATCTTGATTTGGCAAAGAAATTGTTTATCAAACGTGTTTCTAATCTATTTTCATAAAGTAACCTTTCTACCTTTAACCATCTGCCGAGTAAAATTTAAAAAAGATATAAAAATATTTTTATTCTTGTGATACTCTTGTTGTTTAAGTTGTTGTAAAAAAGATTTCAATTAAGTTTTTATACCGCAATTGTTTTTAATTTAAAATTTTAGTCATATTATTATTGTTATTATATAACTATTTGTTAGTGCTATAACACTCAAGTATAGAGACCAAATTAAACGGAGATAATATACATTCTTAATTTGATTCATATATTATAGAATAACTGAAAACCAATATCATAATGTTATAGGTGAAAACAAATGTGAATATGATTATACAGAAAAAGAATGAATTAAAAATATTTTTATGGATCAAATTAAAAATAAATATTTATAAAAATATATATTTGAACCCGTAAAAAATAGAAGTAAAATAAAAATAATGCACAAATTAAGGTGAATACTCCGGAAAGAAATGAAGAAATAGTAGATGTACCTAATGTGTTGTTTTGTGACCAATCAATGTAACGCGTTTGGTTCCTAATTCCCCAGTTTTCCTCCCTCACCAAATCTATCGTCCTTTCATTACCAACAAACAGTGCTGATTCGTTTGTCTGCACAAAAACCTCACTCCTCGAAGTTAAACTCTCAAACCGGAAAGGCGGAAAAGAAGAATGAAGGCAAGAAATTACTAAGCCTATGTATTAGCTATATTATTACATTTATGTCCGCATTAAATATTCATTGTGTCTTTCTGAATCCCTTTTAACTTTATAAATTAATCCTTCCCTCTTGAAAATCCATATGATGTTTCGTTTTCTGCAGTTGTTGTTACGTAGTACCATTCGCATCTCTAATTTACGAATCCAACTTGTTCTAATCGTTATTTGTCTCTTCACCTGTTCGTCCAGCCTCAAGGTCCTATTTCTAATCAGATTTTTGAATTTTGAATATTAGCATTTTTATTTTTATTTTTATGGGTTATTCTGACCGAGTCCGAGGTAGCAGATCGGAGAAACTTGCGGGTCAGACAACCAATGCGATGCTGGTCTCAGCTGCCAGACATGCCCTGCAAATGGGAATACCCGACCCAGATGTTCCCGAATACAGCCTTTAAGCCCCACTTCTAAAGTTGGTCTCTTTTCCCAATTCATGTGAGTTTTTTTTTTTTCCATGTTGTTCAAATTTATGCTTATTATTTTAATTTTTTTGTTAAAATCATGTTCAGAAGAAGGGCTTATCATTTGATCGCTATTCATGGCTCACGACCCACAATTCCTTTGCTCTGGCCGGGGCGAGATCGGCCACAGGGTCTTTCATTGTAGCCCCAATGAACCAGGAAGACACGGTTGCTGATCAACTCAAAGTAAGATTCTCCTCCTTTCTTTTTTTTTTTTTTTTCTCTGTCATAATATAGTAATCCCTAGATGTGAATAGTCTTTAGGAATGTGCAGCAAAGGATTATTTAAAAAACAGAGCATAGGTTTGTGCATTGTGCTATAAAGAACTAGGATTGAAACTGAAATTCCCCCTCAACTAGTATTAATTTATTATTGGTAAATTAGGAATATTATATAGGACAACTAACAAATGGTTGATGCTCGTGTTTTAAAAAAGTTCTGACTCGTATTACAATTTATTTTATTTTATTTGTTCTTTCTCCATTCAAACAAACAAAATAGCTTTCTATGGAATTATTGCAACTATTAATTCAATTACTGGTTACGTGGCTACCATCGGACGTGATCATCAATTTATTTATGCATTCGTTTTTTCTGCACGTAGATAAGTTATCAGCAGTATGCCAAATACGACGTCATTTTAGGGCAGAAATCATGGTGTTTTTGTAATTTTAATTTATTTCAGGGTTATAGTAGTCTTTATATTTATAATTTTTTAAGATTTCAATACCAAAACGACGTCGTTTTAGGAATAAAGCAGATAACTTATCTGCATTAACTGCATAAATATTTTTTTCTTTATTTATTTTTTCATTCTTTAAAGTACTTGAGTAAATATCGACCAAATTGGTATTAAATTGATATTATATTGAAAATTATTATTAAATTTATTTAATCAAATAACATTTAAAATTATAACCATTATTTTTTGAAGTTTATAAATTTGCACGAAGAAGAAGGTTATACTTACAACCTTTTTCTTTTACAACCTCTTACAATCATATCTTAACATTATTGATTTCCGCCAATCAATGGTTATGATTTTCGCAAATTAAACTCATTAATTAATTATTAATTCACAACAAATAATAATCGTTCATTGGCGGAAATCAACGGAGTTAAGAAATGGTTGTAAGAGGTTGTAAAAAAAAAGGTTGTAAGTATAACTTTCTTCATTTTGAAATATAATTCTCATTTTATATGAAAGTATTTCAAAATTCCTATTATTATTATTATCAAAAATAATTTTAGCAAGGAAGAAATTAATAATTTGTTGAGTCAAATTTGTTTGAATTCGTAAGAATTTTGAAATATGTTTCTCTCCTATACATACAATTTGATTTAATATATTTAAATCTTATTTTGAAGTTTTTGTAAATTTTAAATTTAATAATAATAGTATAATTATTAATTTTTCTTTTAATTTTTTTATTTGTCAAGAAAATATTGAATTTTTTAAGCGAATAGGAAAAAAATTAATAATTAAATTGATATTATTAATAATGAATTTGATATTTTTAAATTTCAAAGAATTCTAAAATATTGCTCGATTAAATTTAATAATAATTTTCAATTTGATACTAAATTTTAATTTAATACTATTTCCTTATGTCGGGTTGTGAAAAGAGTCATTCAATGTGTAAAATTTGATTTTAAAATGAGTCCCGATTAATTTTGATTAAAGAAAGATAAATTGATATATAATTTACAAAGTGAGATAAGTTAATAATTTTTTATTTAAAAATAAAATAAAATTGAACAATCAGCTGTTTCCATGTGAATAAACTTTGTTTAAAGCGGTAAATAAAAATTGAATGAGAACATAAATAGCAGCTATACGAGTTGCAGTTGAAATAAAATTAAGGAAAATCAAAACCCCGCTAGTTGTTGGATTAGTTTCTGCATGACCCCTTTACGCTTTATTTCTTCACTTTCTAATGGATATACATATATTGACAGAATGGCGTTCGAGGATTTATGTTAGATATGTATGATTTTCTAAACGACATCTGGTTGTGTCACTCGGCTGAAGGCAAATGTTTCAACTTCACTGCATTCGTAAGTGCGTGGCTCTATTATATATCTGCTTCCTTCATTTCATCAATGACATACGTAACTTTTGGTCCATTAATTCATTCCTTCTTGTGTTTTAACATCCAAATGTCTATGTCTACATGCAGCAACCTGCCATAAACGTGCTTAACGACATTCGATCATTTCTTGATTCAAATCCATCAGAAATTGTCACCATCTTCATTGAGGACTACGTCACATCTCCTCATGGCCTAACTAAGATCTTCACTGCTTCAGGCCTTAGCAAGTACATGTTACCAGTGTCTCGTATGCCCAAGAACGGTGGAGAATGGCCAACCTTACATGACATGGTCCAAACCAATCAGCGCTTGGTCGTTTTCACCTCCATATCATCTAAGGAAGCTTCTGAGGGCATTGCTTACCAGTGGACATACGTGGTAGAAAACCAGTGTGAGTAAATATTTTTATTGCAAAGATGTTTTTCATGCATGCACTTATTTTTTTAAGAATGCTGGAAACTAATCATGATCATGCGTCGGAATTTTAGACGGAGATGAAGGCATGAAAGCTGGTTCTTGTCCAAACCGTGCAGAATCATCAGCAATGAACACAACATCTAAGTCATTGGTTCTGCTCAACTATTTTCATTCTGCTCCAAATCGATCTCAGGCCTGTGCTGACAATTCGGCTCCGTTACTTAGCATGATGAAGACTTGCCGTGAAGCAACCGGCAACCGGTGGCCAAATTTCATTGCTGTTGATTATTACCGGGTAGTTACTTCCTACTTTGTACAAATTTTGATCAAATCATTGATCATGCTTGTTATTAATTACTCTCAAACTTAGCAAAACAGTTCATAATTTATTGATGATAATAATGATGTTAAAGAGGAGTGATGGCGGAGGAGCACCAGAAGCTGTTGATGAAGTAAACGGCCATCTCACTTGCGGGTGTGACAGCATTGCTTATTGCAAGGTTTAATTTCTACCACCTTATGCTTAGTTGCTGCTTTTACCATTGTAAGCTAATCCTATAGTAGGAAATGTAGGTTTAATCCTATTGTAAGCTAATCCTATACTCGCTACCCCAAAAGCTAGCTCAAGGGGTGGGAGTGCCCAAGGCCTTATAAAAGGCTATATTAGTTGCCCATCCAATCAATGTGGGACTATATATCTTAACACGCCCCCTCACGCAAGAGCCCTTTAGGCTAGAAGTGTGAAAATTGCACAGGCCCATTTTTTGTTTACATTTTTGTGCTTTTTTTATTTTATTTTAATTCCACTTTTTAAAGCGGGGGACGGTGAGGCTCTGATACCATGTTAAGAACCTTGAGGTCACCACCCCAAAAGCTAGCTCAAGGGGTGGAAGTGCGCAAAGCCTTATAAAGGCTATATTAGTTGCTCATCCAATCAATGTGGGACTATATATCTCAACAATATGTGTAAGGATGATTAAAACTGTAGTAATGTACATTGGAATTGGAAACCTTCTTATATTTAATTGTGTGTTAATATGTACAGGCAAACGCTACGTTTGGCACTTGTGATGTTCCTCCCATTTCTCCACCTCCACCTGCTACAGCAGCCGCCTCAGGCGGAAACCAGCAGCCACAAGATAACAATCACGCGAGCTCTGCTTATGTTGGTAGAATGGCTAAGCTGATGCAGTCCGTTATAGTAACTTCGGCCACAACTTTCTTGGCATGGTTATAGAATGCTGTTAAGTTTGGGAAGTTTTTAATCATGTGAAAATAGGTATGTGTGTATGTTGTACTAGATGGTTTGGCCAATTTGATTCCGAGTATTGTATGGAATCCGAGTCAATTTTTATCAGACGGCACTTCATGGCTGTAATATGACTTGATTGTTTAATGATTGACATCCCCAAGAACTTAATAAATTCTTGTCACATGAAAGAACTCCTTATCTAGGAAACATCTGTTGGTTGTACCCGCTGTTTCTTAAGAAATGCAGTTCGATTTATTGCTAATAACTCGCCAAGTGAACTTCCAAATTTGAGCATTAGCAAGCCATTTCAAAAGTATGTTTTTGTGATTGTAAAAAACAGAGCCTCGCCGTTCTCCACTTTCTCTTGTGGAGTTTCTTAGCACAAGTAAGCTGGGCCTGTTGCATTGTCCACGCTTCAAGCCCAATGGGTTCTCGTGTGAGGGGACGTGTTGAGATATATAGTCCTACATTGGTTGTATGTGCAACTAATGTGAAATTTATAAGACCTTGGGCACTCCCACCCTTTGAGCTAACTTTTGGAGTGGTGTATCCCAAGGTTCTTTACAATGATCATACAAGTGAAGATCAGTTGAAGATTTACTAGATCCAAAATGCTTCAATTGTGGGGCTTCCTCTTTTCCACGGGACAAAATCCAATTATGCTGGCCACATATGGGATGCCTTCTAAAGATGATTCCATTAATGGAACTCATTAACCAGCTGTCAGGGTCTTTCCAAATCAACATTAAGTTCCCCACTCGAGCAAAAAATGGGGCTGAAGGACCACCACATTGAAAGGAAAATAATTTGTCATCTATGCCAACTAACTACTTAACATGAATGTGGCGTGTCTCTTTAGTATGCAGTATAATGGACCTCAGAAAAAAAAACACTAGGCATGATGTATTGGCGTTTAATCTGATGTACATCTCAACTCGACTTTATAGGTGTAAGAAATTCGCTTCAGTAAAAGCAATGTTGAGAATGCAAGTGTATTTTAATCAAATAATGTTCAAGCAGCTCAAACATGATACCCAACGAAACATGACATTCTTTTATTAGATGAATCGAACAATATGGCTAAAATTTACATGACCAACCTCAAGCTACAATCATCCCTTATAAAAGACATGGGACAGAGAGAAATCGGAGAAATCTCGTTGTGGGGTTATGTGAGTGTAGGCCGAGGTATAGATCGCGCAAAGAGCCTAGAGCAAAATATGTTAAAGGCCCGATGGATGCAAATTGTTTAGGCTTTTGCAGTGACAGGTTGTAAAGGGAGGACGGGTACCAAAAGCTTTTTGGTCATTAAAGAGACAGCTATGCAAATTTATTGCTTTTCTACTGGATGGTTTGATCTTGTCTCATTGGCACACATCCCGTTATCAAGCTTACAATCATCAACCGATACAGTCACCTCCTCTTTCAATCCATCCTCTACTCTATTGTTAAGTAAATGTCCTGCATCCCTTCTAGCCCTGCGATCCTATAAGAAGATAACACTTGTTTAATAATTAAAAATGAAACAGCTCAACTGTGAGAACATCAAATATGAGGGGCGCAAACTACTCTTGTTTATCACATTCGGAGTGGTATTTTTTTACATGCCGCAGTTTCATTTATTAAACTTTGGTGGGGTTCAGTTAGTATGCAGGAGGAGAACACGGTAAGGTGGATATTAGTTCATGAAACTAGATCAAACTCAGGACTTGTAGATAAGCTGAAGAACCACACATGACAAAGAGGTTACTATAGCAGAAATGAATACAAATGTCTCTAGTTGTTGAAATATTTAGTCACATGATGTCCTGCTTTAAATACGCATTTATTTCAAGAATTCACACAAACTATGATAAACACTTCCAACATTGGGTTCGCTTTTTCTGCAGTAAACCCAATATGACGTCGTTTTGGGACGGAAATCATGGTGCTTTTGTAATTTTTTTATTTTTAATTTTTTTATTTCAGGGTTATAATAGTCTTTATATTTATAATTTTTTTAGATTTCAATATCAAAACGACGTCGTTTTGGGAATAAATGTAGATAACTTATCTGCGGTAACTGCAGAAACATTTTTCCCTAAATCGAAACACTAAATTAGAAACTAAATCTGATACCAAAACTCCATAGTAGGCCGAGACAGGAAACCACAAATTGGTAATTTAATTTAACAAACCGGGGATCGCCTGTTATCTAAGTCTTTATTGAAATTTAAAATATGTTTCCTTATCTGTCACATCTAAATTTATGCTACCGGTTAATGAAAGAACAATGAACATGCTATATTTCCTTTATTCATTAACTAGCACCATACTGAAGTTGAATTAACTTAAGCAGAAATGATTGTTACCTCTTTGTAAGGGGAATCTTCAGCTTCGAGCATGTGTATTACATGCCCCATTTTAGGCCGCTTTTGTGCATTAGGGTCTGTGCAGCGTAAGGCTACAAGAAGGGCCCGCTTTAGTGCCCTTGAAGTTGGTTTCTCAGGGAGCTTGGGATCCAACACTCCCTCTGGATTTCTGTTACTAACCATCTTCTTGAGCCAGTCAACTAAATTCACCTGAAAATTCTGAGTTTTCAGTTACAAGTGAAAAGGCAATAACAGAGATGTACTTACAATAGTGAAATAGTTCAAACCTCTTCTGGAGGCAGACTATAATCAACTGGATTCCTGCCTGTAATTACTTCCATAATAAGAATTCCAAAACTATAAACATCACTTCTTTCATTCAACATGCCAGTACTTGCATATTCAGGAGCTACATATCTGCCAAAAGAAGAATAAGTAAGGGAATTGTTGGCAACTCATCATTTGTAACAGTTCTAGGAGGGAGTGAGACAACAGACAAGGGAGACTGTACAAACCCAAATGTACCCATGACACGGGTTGTAATATAGCTGCTCTCAGATCCAAGTAGTTTGGCAAGGCCAAAGTCTGACACCTTTGAATTCCACTGCTTATTAAGCAAAATGTTGCTTGATTTAATATCACGGTGAACAACTTTTGGTTCCAGCCCCTCATGAAGATAAGTTAACCTGTTGAAATATAACAGTTATGATAAGGAAAAGCATTTTTGCCAACAGAACAATGACCAATAAGAAGGACAGTTGGGGGTTGATGAAATTTAGGGGAAAAAAAACAAAATCAAGAAAAAAGAAAGTGAATCAAAGCTGGAAAAAGTAAGTCTATTTGTTGTTTACCCCTTTGCCGTTCCCAGAATAATGTTCATTCGAATTTCCCAAGTCAGAGGACTGCAAGGCCCAACATCCCCATGCAGCCACTGCTCCAAGTTACCATTGTCAACGTACTCATACACAAGCATTCTGTGGGAAGATGAGAAATTAACCTGATAAGTGTATAGAAGTTACACTGAGACGGAGCATAAGAGTTAAGGAAAAATCAATAGAATAATAATACCTATGAGCTCCTTCAGCACAATAACCTAGTAACCTCACTAAATTCTTGTGGCGAACTCGTCCTATAGCTTCCACTTCAACCTTAAACTCCTTCTCAGCTTGTCCCCTAGCGTTATCAATTATTCACGCACCAATCTTATAATTAATTAAATTTATGTCATTCATATAAAGAAAACTACTCCAATGCAAATCATCGTTTGAAAAAAAAAACTAAAGAATTCACCTATTATTGAGCAAATTCTTAATAGCAACATGACTATTGTCCTTCAAGATACCATGGTAAACGATTCCATAGCCGCCTTCACCAATAACATTCTCAGGTGCGAAGCCATTGGTGGAATCCTCAAGCTCCCTGAGAGTGTACCAATGGCCCCAACCCAAATGAGAAACTTCAGGAATCACCATAGGAACCTGATCCACGGGTCGAGCCTCTCCACTCGGGTCATGTGAACTGGACCTAACAAAGGCACGTTCAGGGTATGAAATCCTATGGTTCTTCCCAATCTCAAACTGAATTCTGTTATACCCCAACGGGTTATCTTCTTCGGGGGGAAGTAGTGTCAGCAGGGCCTGGCGTTCGTTGGAGGGAAGTGGGTCGGGTTCAGGAAAAGGGTCGGGTTGAAGTGGAGGGCCGTTTAGGTTGAGGGCATGGTCGAGTCTGATCTCTTGGATCTCCTTGGAAACATCTGGGATGGAAGGGTTGGTCTTGGAACGCTTGAAAGCGAGCCAGATAGAGATGAGGAAGAGGAGAAGGACGATGGCAACGCCAACGCAAACGCCGAGAACAACCCATAAACGGAGACCGAAGATGGAGGTTGGGTTGGAGAGTTGGTCATTCATGGTGGGAGTGGGATGATCGGGCATTGCTTTGGTTTTTCCTCACGAAAAAGTGAAGAAGGGAAGAAAGAAAGAGGTAAGCATAGAGACGACAGAGTAGAGAGAAGAGAGAAAGGGTAGGGAAGGAGACAGAGACAATGGCAGCTGGCATGGTGGGACCTCATGGGAACCCAATTTGCAGTGACTGTGACTGTGACTGTCTTGTTTGGAGTGAGTATGTATTGTTACGTGTGAAATCTACGATTAGCCAAACTGTTAAGTATGCTCTATTTTTTCGCTAGATTGCATCCAGCTACTTTGCATGCGTTTAGTTTTGATTTAAAAATCAAGAAGAAGAAGAAGAATAACTGACTTTTTTTATAAATAAAAAGCATAAGAGAGAGAGTTATATTTATAATTTATTTATTTTTCACAAACTCTTACAAATTTGCCCATGTAATATGGTATATTCCTCTATTTGTGTATTTCTCTGAATATATTGACAAGATTATAAATAAAAAATATATAAATATAATTTTTATACAAGAGAGAGAGGATATTATTATTATTAATGTTACTACTAGTTTATTTTATCATTTGATTAATTATATTGATCCAACGGTTTTGATTTAATTTTTTAAAAATCTTCTTTCTTGTTTTTATATTTAATACTTTATATTTTTTTTACATTTATATAACTATTATTCTTCATATTTAATACAATATTAAAAACAACAATTGAGAAATCTTAAAAACTCTTATTTTCTATTTTAGCTGTTAATTTCTATTTATCTCGTAGTCGTAATTTATTAAATTATAGTTAATTATTATATATAAATAAAATATAATTATTGTATAAAATAAAAATCAGCGATTAAGATAAAAAGTAAAAAAAATTAATTTTATATTGGAATTAAAAGATGCTACCCCTTTATCTATCTATTTATCAAGCGATCGTAATTTATTTTGAATTAATAATTAATTAATTCATATATCTTAAAAAATTACGTATCAACAGCTGATATGCGGATAAAACTAGCTAATGTTAAGCTAAAAGATCCCTCTTCTCTCTCCGGCAATTGCAAAACTCCGAGAGAAAATCAGAACTTCCGATGCGTTACACCCTTGTAGTTTTTTTTTTTTTTGGTAACAACACCCTTGTAGTTTAAAGTGCTACCCAACTAACATCTCTTGTTTTAGTCAAAACTCGAAATTATGAGCTGATTTAATTTCATTTATTGTTTAAAAAAAGTCAAAACTTACAAGTGAGTTGCATGCATAATCATTTCTCCAGTAATAATAATAATAATAATAATATTTAAAGCAAGTTATAAACATATAATGATAAAAGTATTTAAAAATAACCATAAACCCTTTCTTATTTATTAAAACATTTCATAAATAAATAGAGAAATATTATATTTATTATATTTTTTCTTATTACCTCATATTACTAAATCTTAATTGTTGATTTCCGTCAGTCTGGCGGTTATAATTTATTAAAAATTAATAATTAATTAATAAGTATGACCCAATAAATCATAACCGTTAGATTGACGGAAAAGATTTGATAATAAGAAGTAGTAAGAAAAAAAGTAGTAAATATAACTTCTCCCATATAAATAATATTACAAATGTATATTTTGACATTAAATAAAGTGATTAAGGTTACTATAAAAAAGTGATTAATGTTTCGGATGTTGTAGAAAATAAAATTATCTTCAACACATATATAAAAATGTGTGGGATCCATACGGAGCTACGTGAAGAGAAGAGAACAAAAAATGACCCCATATATTTTTATATATCAGAAAAATATTTCTGCATTTACTTCCAAAACGACGTCGTTTTGGGATTGAAAGATTGGAAAATTATAATTATAAAGACTATAATAATCCTGAAATAAATTTAAATTACAAAAACACAATGATTTCCGTCCCAAAACGACGTCGTAATTGACTTACTTCAGATAAATTATCTGCAGTAACTGCATAAAAAGCGAACCTTGTTTTTTGTTTTTCTTGGTAAAAAGAGAGGGTCATAGACCCAAGACAGAAAGAAAAACAGGAAACATAAATGGGATTTATGAATATTATGTTACATGATGAAGCTTACATCATGTTACACTCACAATGCAAGTGGGTCCCACCATTTTCTTATTTTTTGTTTTTTGAAAAAAACTTATGGGGCCCACTTGCATTGTAAGTGTAGCATGATGTAAGCTTCATCATGTAACATAATATTCATAAATCCCAACATAAATACAAGATAGAAAAAGAACTAAACGAAAACTATCTGTTGTTGTCAGCAGCAACAAGTTGACTTAATCCCGGTGGGACAAATCTAAAGGTTTGGAAACCTTCCTCCCGTGAAAGCGCAAGCTGGGCTAGCCAATCAGCACATTTATTAGCTTCCCTCCTTGCATGTACGAAACGGATCTGCCAATCTTTTTCAGTCCACTGCCTGATCCTATTGAACGAATAAGACTCATTGGTGATGGGTTGCACTTGTTGTAGTTGCTGAATGATAGCCAAGTTATCTCCTTCTACTATTACATGAGAAAACTGGTTAAACCAACAGTAAATTAGGCCCTTTAGAATAGCCCAGACCTCTGCATCTTGAGGGGAACAATCTCCAATATTATAGGCAAAGCCCCCTTTCCATTACCCATTACTATCACGGATCAATCCACCGCAACTAGCTTTGTGCCTTGAATGTGAATAAGCTCCGTCAATATTTAGCTCCACCCACGCCTCTTCTGGTGTAATCCATCTACCGGTAGTGACCTCTAGGCAGCATCTATTTTCAACATTACTGTTGTGTATTCCTCGGTTTCCTAAGTTATCCACAAAAGCAATAACACTCTTCTCTGGATATATAGGAAACTGAAAATCAGGATCATGAATCGATTTATTTCTCCAGTACCACAGCGACCAGCACCCTATAAAGAAAAAATCTATCCATTTTTTGGAAAGATTATTATCATTACAAACAAGTATCACGTTCTTCTTAAACCAGCTTCCATACTCTCCGCTGAAAAAATCAGTGTGTCGGTATCTGGAAAGACAGCGAATCCACAACCACTTTGCTTTCGGGCAATCACGCAACACGTGCAAATGACTCTCCTCCACCGTTCGACAGTAGAAGCAACACTTATCCCCCTGAGTCCATTTGCTTATACGGCTTATCGTAGGAAAACACTCATAAGTTGCAGTCCACATAAAGGTTCTGACTCTCTGTGGGCTTTTCCAGGTCCATATCCTCTTCCATATGGGGTTTTTATTCATATTATATGTCTCTAATAATCGGTGATATACAGTTTTAACAATGGAATGGTTACCACTAAGCTTACGCCAAAGCAATTTGTCCCCACCATCCAAAGGGCTCGAGGGTAGGATTGCTCAAATTCTTTGCACAAGAGGCTCATCAAAGAATTCTCTAAGGGGGCGTTTGATTGAGGGAAAATTTTTATGAATAATAGGGAAATAAGAATAGTGGGGAAATGGTTGGAAAGTGAATTTGGTAGGAAAATGTAAAAAAAGTTGTTTGGTTGAAAAAAATATTACCGGGGAAATTAGGTAACATTTATGAAGTCTATGTTTGGCTGTAGGTAAAATATAGATGAGAAAAAACAGTGCTATTACGAAAATACCCCTATGTTTAATTTTTTTTTTTTAAACAAACATCCTACCTTTTACCTTCAAAACAAGAAAAAATCTGTGTCTTTGGAGGGTATAATGGTTGTTTGAGATATTGTCTACACAGTGCCTTTGTCGGTTTTCACAAAAAACCACCTCCAAGAATTCTTTCTGAACAGTGCCAAACACCATCATTCCACTTGCATATTCAAAATGCAATGCAATTAGGATTGGTGGGGATTTAGACTAAATCTATGGAACCAAACGAGTGCTTTCTGGAATGCTTCCTTCGGATGCATAGGAAAGTTTGAAAAAGAACGCAACCAAACACCACCTAAGGAAATATATGTTCCAATTTGTCATTGTTCGGTTAGTGCAGTCCTTTAGTCTACGGTCCAAATCATGCGCAGGGGGTTGGACTCTCGCCTTATTCAATAAAGGCTTCTCAAAGGCACCCCACTTGTCTGTCCATAAACATATATTGGTCCCATCACCCACTTCCCAATAAAGTATACTCAGGAAATCATTCCAGATGTTACCAAGCGCTTTCCACAAATGGGAGTCATGCTTTTTGACACAGATTTCTCTGTATAGATCCTTTTCACGTCCATACTTTACAACTAGGATTTGCACCCAAAAAAAGGTAGGATTATTAAGCACATTCCAAGCAAGCTTATAAAGGAAGGCAGTGTTATGAATCTGCGATTTACGGAGTCCCAAACCCTCCACTGATTTTGGGCGACAGACGGTATCCCAAGCCACTAAATGGATCTTGTTTTTATCATCACAATCCCCCCATATGAATTGCCGTTGAAGCTGAACAATTTCTTTACACACCATAGCTGGTAATACGTCATGCTGCATGCTAGAAGTAGGAATGGCCGAGATTACTGACCCTGCAAGTGTGGCACGCCCTGCAAAGGAGATACAGTGTTGCTTCCATCCATTAAGGCGATTCTTAACTTTCTCCAATATGTCAGTGTAATGTGCAGTAGTCTTTCTACCATGCTTCAAAATGGACCCTAAATACCTGCCCATTTTTCTCTCCTGCTTGAAACCACATCTCTGTGTAATCACATTTTTCAAATTTTCAGGTGTGTTCTTTGAGAAATATACCAGAGATTTTGAAGCACTAATCTTCTGACCTGAGGCCGAACAAAAAACATCTAGGCAATGCACCACATTTTGTATCTGATATGCACTAGCTTCAGCGAATAAGATGAGGTCATCTGCAAACATTAAAGGAGATATATCTGGTCCCTTTTTGCTTATTTCAATAGGGCTCCATCTGTGCTGGATAACTGCATCATAAATTATATGCGATAATTTTTTCATACAGAGGACAAATAGGTAGGGAGACAAGGGATCACCCTGTCTAATACCTCTAGTCGCTTGAAAGCTCTCTGTCTTATTACCATTCCATAGAATGTTGAATCTGTTGTAGTGACACACTCCATAATTACGTTAACCAAGTGAGCAGGTATATTTATTTCCTCCAAAACATGTCGAATAAACTCCCAATTTAACCTGTCGTAAGCGAAAAAGCGACCCCTTTATATATATATAAAATAAAATTATAACATAAAAAATATTAATCTGAATAAATAATTTTATGATGAGGTAGGATATTGTAACAACCAATTAGGGTTACTACCAATCAATTTCATTGTTAGATAATGTTGATCAAACGTTATATTTATTTCCATATTTGTATGGTTATAATTCCTCATATTTACTACTTTATATTTATTTTAATCTTTGTATGATTGTGATTTACCATATTTAAATCTAAGAAATCATAAGCATACAAAGATAAAAATAAAATATAACCGTTGGATCAATATAATTGTTTTAAGAGTAAAATTGATTGATAATAACACTAGTAATAACTCTAATTAATTGTTAAGATATCTTACTCCTTATTATATGATTTTTTTTATTTTTTTTTGGATTACATCTGGATATCCTCATAGCCGATAGCTATGAGACTAATTCCTCACCCCGGGTCAACGCACAAAACGATGAAGAGCTGGCCACCACTTACTTAAGGAACGAGATGCTGAACCATCACACCCACCCACCTGCTATATGATTCCGTTTTAGCTTGGTCCAAATCTGAAACCTGACCTAAATTACGAAGTGTCAATGTGTCCTAACTCATTTGCGCGCCAAAAGTCCAGAATTTGTTTCCCGCGCAGTACTTAACAATCCCTAGCTCAGCACTGTTCTCTCTCATACACACTCAGAGAGAGAGAGAGAGAGAGAGAGAATGGGGGATAGAGAGGCTACAACCGGTAAGCGAAGGCCGAGAGGAGCGGAGGCCGCCGCCCGCAGCGAAGCCTTGGAGCGCCTGAAAGCCCGTCTCCGCGGAGGTCCCCGATCTGACGGCGGTGGACCCCAAATCAGGTTAGAAAACCCTATCTACGACTCTGTCCCCGAGGAAGAGTACAACGCCCTCGTTGCCAAGCGCCGCGAACAGGCACGTGCATTCATCGTTGACGATGACGGTCTCGGTTACGGTGACGAAGGCGAGGAAGAGGATTGGTCGAAAGCTGGCTTCACCCTCTCCTCCGACGAATCCGACGGCCAATCGGAGAGGCCCAAACGGAAGAAACTCGAGAAGAAAGATCCTCAGCCGAAACGACCCTCTTCTTCGCTCTCAGCTGCCGCCGCCATGATGGGCGGGCAGAGACTGTCTTCCATGTTCACTTCTTCTGTTTTCAAGAAAAGCAGAGACGACAAATCCTGCGACAGCATCGTCGATAATGTTATCGCGGAGTTTGCACCCGACGAGAACGATAAATTAAGGCGTAGAAGGGTGCAAGTGACTTCATTGTCTGGCGCCAACGATAAGCCGTCTTCTGATTTGATTGGATGTTCTTTTGTATCCGAAACTTCTGCAAAAGGAAATGGTGAATCCACTAGGGTTGTTGAGAATAATGATTGCGACATTGGGTTAGAGCAAAAGTGCGAAGAAGCTGTCATGGAAATTGAAGGGCATGGAAGTTCGGAAAATGACCAGTCATCAATGTTGCAAGTGGAACCGAGTTATGGGGATATAGTTGAGGAGGAAGTGGTTAAGGACATTGAAATAGAAGCAAAACCTGCTATGAAAAAAGAGGTGTTTACTTTGAATGCGAAAGTTGAACAAGAGGAGGACCCGGCATTGTGTGCAACTGCTGGTTGGCAAGCAGCGAAGAGTTGTGCTGGTGGAGGGGAGATCAATGTTGCTGATTCGAGGGATGCTTCGAATAACCAACAACAATCAGAGTTCAATCTGGAGGCTGATGGATCGCTACCTTTCTACATACTTGATGCCCACGAGGAGTTTTATGGAGCCAATATGGGCACCCTTTATTTGTTTGGGAAGGTAATTTTTTGGTTTTGAATGTCCATGTTGATTGTTGAGTTTCATGGCAACTAATTTCATGATTGGTTGTATGTTACTCGCTGCCTCATTTTTAGTTCTCATCATATTCTGCATTTTGTTACCAAACAAAGTATCAGGAATCACGACTGTATTCTCAAGTTTGTTATGACAATATGACAACATTTTTGTTTTTATTTGAGATGCATATTCGTTTTGTTCTTTTCAAGTTTCCCCTGTTACCGTTTAGGTGGTCTACAATTTTACTTTGATATCATTTTCATTCTTGTTGATTCACTTGAGAGAAATTGTGACATTTTATGGCTTCCCTTACTATTTAGTGCTCGCTTCTAGTGCCTTTACTGTCATAAATACATTCTCACAAGTCACAGCTATTTGTACTTCTAATTGTTTGCTCTAAGTGTACAAGATGATGTTTTCTCCATTCACATTATGTTTACCGTTTGTATGGTGTTCCTAGTACTCATATTTTCGTGAGCGTGATTCTAATTGAAGCAAGGGACAAATTATCTTATTTCCACTGTTTTTGTTTTCACCTTTACTTTCATAATGCATGATGCTGCATATGTTCTCTTTCATCATAAGATGTTAATTTTCTGGTGCAAGGTGTCATCAACATGGCTAGTTGTCAAGCCATAGTGTGAAATTAAATTTTTAATTTTGGTTTGCATTTTGGACTTGACCAATGGAAAGTTGAGTTGTATGTAACAGTCAGTTACTCTTTACTGCTAATGAGTGTGTAACTTGGATATGGAAAATGACTTTGACTATTAGCATTCTTGTCAAGCCATAGTGTGAAATTAAATTTTTAATTTTGGTTTGCATTTTGGACTTGACCAATGGAAAGCTGAGGTCTATGTAACAATCAGTTACTCTTTACTGCCAATGAGTGTGTAACTTGGATATGGAAAATGACTTTGACTATTAGCATTCTTGTTGAGAATTAGGTCAAAGCAGGAAATTTGTATCAGAGTTGCTGTATTGTTGTGAAGAACATGCAGAGGTGTGTCTACGCAATTCCAAGTCGCCCTTTACATTACACGGATGAGATGATGAAGCTTGAGAAAGATGTCCAAGAGTCTCGAATTTCTCCTGCAGATTTCCATAAAAAACTGCAAGTATGTTTTTACTTTGTCGATCTCCGGCATACATTTATGTAATTTTTGTTGATTTTCTTCCCTACTTTTCTGTCAGCCTGGGGTTGATCATTCTGTCTTGTCCAATTTTTCTTTTAAATTTTAGGATGCGGTATCTGGTTTAAAGAATGAGATAGCAAAACATCTGCTGGATCTGAATGTTTCTACCTTTAGCATGGCACCTGTGAAGGTTTGCTGATTAAATAATTCTGATGTCTTGGAGTGCATAAATGAGTTATGTGATGCTTTTGTGCCATGTATATTTATTGCTGATCTTTCTATTCCAATTCCTTGCTCATTTTTGCAGAGGAAATATGCATTTGAACGATCTGAGATTCCTGCTGGTGAAAATTATGTGGTGAAAGTCAATTATCCTTTCAAGGTACAGTATTAAATTTATGAACATTCTCAAGCAAAAAAAATGTCAAAATCTATCTTTGATATTCTCTCTGTTGATTTTAAATACGGATGTAAACTCGAATCCTGCCCCTTCTCCATTTTAAAATTATTTTCTAAAGATATAGCACGTGATTATTATGCATGTGTAATTTGTTTCAATTTTCACAATATTTTAACCATTGCAGGATCCAGTACTTCCAGTAGACCTCAAAGGAGAAAGTTTTTGTGCAGTTTTAGGCACTCGTTGCAGGTATTGTAAGTTTTCAGCAACTATCCTGTGTGATATTTTAAGATATAATGAGAACATGCTATTTGATTTCTGAAACTCAGGAACTCAAATTATGACCTAATGTCATGGTACATAAAATCTCTTTTCGATTGCAGCAGGGAGATTTTAAGTACGTGCAAAGTTCAGTATGCTGTAGCCATTTAAATCCGTAATATGCATCAGAGAATACTTGAGGAGTTAATCTGGCAGAACCTTGGAATTTCTTTTTGTTATGATAAAACAAATTTTCTCAATAAATGCACATTTCAAATACTTGCCCGGATCTCTGAAGCATAATGCTACGGGAGCAGATTTAATTCTCTTTTGGTGTTAGGAGCAGACATGATTTTAGAAATTAAGAACTTTGGTGAACAGAAAAATAGTACTTTGTTGACTGAAGCCTACATTTTAATCAGTCTGGTTTCCCGAAGATCAGTAGTTCTTATAAATTACGATATATCATGCTTAGGGTTTTCAAAATGCTTTGTTGCCACTAAATTCCCCTACTTGTGTTAAGTAAGTCTGTAAATTGTACTAGTATTTTCTGTTAGAAAAATGGTTGAACTGACTGTATCACCATCTGCAGTGCGCTCGAGCTTTTTCTGATAAAAAGAAAGATAAAGGGGCCTTCATGGCTACAGGTTTCAGACTTTTCCTCCCGCTCAGCTTCTCAAAGGGTGAGATTTTGAAGTTGGGCATATACTAAAAGTAATATATTTAATATTGTCTTTTGTTCTATATGGAGGCCAGCTTTTTTAATCTTAGTAGCTTGTTTGTGCTTACAGGTTAGCTGGTGCAAATTTGAAGTTACTGTTGACTCTCCTAAAGATATAAGGACTTCAACTTCGTCAAAAATAGCTTTCGAGATTCCTCCTGTGGTTGTCACGGCAATAAACTTGAAAACCACCTTAAATGAAAAACAGAACATAAATGAGATTGTATCTGCATCCGTTGTCTGTTGCAATATGGTTAAGGTTGTTTAGAGTGCTTTTTTTTAGTGTTTGGATTTCTGACCATCACTTTGATTTGATTTTGTTACATATACTATAGCGTGCTAGCTTATCTCGTGTCATGAGCTCAAGTGCATTCCCAATATGATTTGTTAAGAGTGTTAGTGTTAATAGTGTAGAAGTCCCACATTGAGTGTGTCTCTTTGTATTCTTCAATTGGTTTGCTATATAATAGCACCAATGTTGTGTAGTTTAATACAACAAGGATTACTATCATTTCCTCTTGTATCTATGATATTCAACATGGTATCAGAGCCTAACAAGAGGAATCTTAATCCGTTTAACTTAGTTCTATTTTCCATAATTTCAATATGGTTATAGAGAGATATCACCCTCCTTGAGGGATTCCCGTTGCTATTTCTTTTTCGGGTTTTTCTTAGTATGCTCTGTGACTGCAGCTTAGACTGATCTGTCACATCAGAAAAGAATGATCCTTGGGAAGTTGTTGGGTTGACCACCGTTGTCGTTGACCGACCACCGTTGACCGCGTCGTCCACCGTTGACAGCCGTCTCCGGCGACATTCCGGTGACTTTTCCGATGACTTCCCGGCGACTTTTTCGGCGATTCACCACCGTCTCCGACGACCCACCGCCTTCTCCGGCGACTTTTCCGATTCCGCGAAGCTTTGTTTTTCTTTAATCTTCTTTCTTCCCAAGATGGAGTATTTATACGATTCATCATCCATCTTGAGGGGGAACATTGTCCAAGTTGCTGATGTTGTCTCCGCTGATGTTAATTTCGACACTGAAGTTCCTCTTGAGGGGGAGCACTGTCCATGTTGCTGATGGTCATTCCAGCATAATTGTCTTTGCCGATGATAATTCCGGCACTGTTTAGAAGTTCCTCTTAAGGGGGAGCACTGTCCATGTTGCTGATGGTCATTCCAGCACAATTGTCTTTGCCGATGATAATTCCGGCACTGTTTAGAAGTTCCTCTTGAGGGGGAGCACTGTCCATGTTGCTGATGGTCATTCCAGCACAATTGTCTTTGTCGATGATAATTTCGGCACTGTTTAGAAGTTCCTCTTGAGGGGGAGCACTGTCCATCTTGCTGATGGTCATTCCAGCACAATTGTCTTTGCCGATGATAATTCCGGCACTGTTTAGAAGTTCCTCTTGAGGGGGAGCACCGTCCATGTTGCTGATGGTCATTCCAGCACAATTGTCTTTGCCGATGATAATTCCGGCACTGTTTAGAAGTTCCTCTTGAGGGGAGCATCGTCCATGTTGCTTATGGTCATTCCAGCACAATTGTCTTTGTCGATGATCATTCCGGCATCTTCCATGTTGATGTTCATTTCGACGCCATTTTTAGCACATTGTTGATTTTTGGTTTCTCATTTAGGAGATTTATTTTGATGTTATGTTACTTGGTCTTTCTTGTATAAGCTTGTAGCATAGTCAAGGGGAAACCACGACTGCTCACCAATTGTTAAATGAAATGTCTGAGAGGGATCTTGATGCTGATGTCCTGGTCAGCTCAGTTGTCTTTGCCGATGATAATTCCGGCACCATCCATGCTCTGATGTCCATTCCAGCACTGTCTCTTTATCAGCTCTTCAGACTGATGGTCATTCCAGTTGATTTGTTGTACTTAGTCATTTCATTTCGTTGATGTAGCATTGTTGTTTTTGGTTCCTAATGGGAGTATTATTTATGTATCAAGCTTGTAGCATATGATCTATATGCTACAGCTTGAGGGGGAGTGTTAAGAGTGTTAGTGTTAATAGTGTAGAAGTCCCACATTGAGTGTGTCTCTTTGTATTCTTCAATTGGTTTGCTATATAATAGCACCAATGTTGTGTAGTTTAATACAACAAGGTTTACTATCATTTCCTCTTGTATCTATGATATTCAACATGATTTATACGTAGTATTCACTTATATTTCAGCTAGGCCTAATTTACTTCCAATATGCTTGTCGAGTTTGAATATGGCTGGCAAAATTATCAATGTTTTGCCATTTTTTTGTGTTACATATTTATATACACACGATATGAATAGTGAGAGCTACATATATACGTTTCAAACTCATTATCTGACATTTGGTATATTTTGAATGGCAAATGATGGCCTCCTGGTGAATGAATTACCAAACTAGTGCTTTCTAAAAGCTTTCACAAATGAGTTCACTTGTTGAAGGACCCTATTCTTGTTTGTTATTAATGCATATGGGTGTTCAAAATGGGTAACTTAGATTCAACTTAAGCTCATGTTCTCTTGTCACTAACATGCACCTATGCGAATGTAAAGCTTGTAGTTTCAAGAAATCATTCTCAATTTGATGTGTTTAAATATTCCGGCTGATGTAGTATTGATTTTTTGTGAATATTCAAAAAACCATAGGAATACAAATTTATTGTTTCTTTTGAACCTTTGACAACTTTTTGGGACTTGTGATGATTGCAGCTATACTAAATAATTAATGATTTGGCATTCTTGAGCTTATGCAAATAGTCAATTGGGCTTGACTATGCTTGTGGATGAATCATCTGAGCTGATACAATGGGCATTAGGCTAAATGTTTTGTATTCTATGAATGTTAAAATGAATTGAAGCTTGAACTTAACACTTCACTTATTTAGATTCTGTGTGTGAATATATATGCATGTATGCCCTCACTGATAGTTTGAATATTATTATCAGATTTTAAGATATTATCTAGTTATTCCACTACTATGTTAGATATAGTTGAGCTGGAAATATGATCTGCAGTAACCTTGCCTCTTTGACTTTATAGATTGACACTCCTATGTTGGCTTCAGAGTGGAAGAGACCTGGAATGCTGACCCATTTTTCTGTTATTCGTAAACTTGATGGGAATATATTTCCAATGGGATTCAGTAAGGAGGTTACGGACAGAAACTTAAAAGCTGGGTCAAATGTTCTGTGTGTTGAAAGCAGGTGGGAACATTAATGGATGGGTCGCTAGTTTGAGCATTGTACTTGTATGCATGACCTCATGTTATGCTTGGACTTTAAATATTGTGTTGTCTAGAAATTGTAAAATTTGTCTTCAAATTTTATGCTTGCTTCAAGGATTGACCTATGTGTTAATGTTGTTTTCAGTGAAAGAGCTTTGTTAAATCGCCTGATGTTAGAATTACACAAGTCCGATAGTGATGTTCTTGTTGGACATAATATTTCTGGATTTGACCTGGACGTTCTTCTCCACAGATCCCAGGTGGGAATTTTCGCTTCTCATAAACAATTTATTGTCAATTATGTCTTTTTCACTTTGAATAGAAATTAATTGACTTTTGTCTTTCTGTTCTTAGCCTTATAATTCTTCATTGTCAAATGAATAATATCTGGATGAGAAATAATTGGTTAAGATGGTTTGAATAATAACACCAATCATTTAGATACTCTTAAGGCAGAAAAATAGTATGAAGATTGCACGAAGACCAAAATTACTTTGCTAGAGTTGATAATGAAGGGTATGTAGGGAAGATTTCTAGTTGAACATGCAACTTCGAACAATATTAATAGAGTCTTAGAATTCATATGGAGGTCTGAATTTGTTTTGATAAAAAAAGAAACCATGTAGCTATTCCAAAACTTTTTCAATATGGGGTAATTTTTTTATGTCAATTTTCTAGAGTTTGGGGTTGGTGTCTAACTGTTGAATGGACATAGTTCCTCATAATTTTATGTGAAAATCTTTAGCTGGTGCATCATTGCATGTTTACTCAATGGGAAAAGTGTTTCTTCTTTTCAATGACACAACTTGTGTCATTTCACTCTCACAAAGAGGTAGGACCCGCACTTTTATTTTTTTTGTCCACTCTCTCTCCCCTATAATCTATCTCTTTCTCTCAGTTATAATGACACAACTTTACATCCTTTAAAATGACACCCTTTTCCCTTACTTAATAAGCATTAAGAAAACCTTATCTTCTCAGTCAGTTCTTCAATTTGCTGTTTGAATTTTTAAACTCAATAACTTCGAGTTTTATCCTGAATTTCCAAATACAATTTCCTGGTGTTGCTTTCATCATATGTACAAGGAAGTGGCGGCCATTGTCCCTGAATGACCTATATCTATAAATTCTTTTCTCCTTGAAAGTCCAATATGCTTTTCAAAAATAAAATCCTGCTGCATTCATCCGACATACATTTTACCCTTTGAAGGAGCTTATGTGTCTAAAATACTTGTAAAGAACCAATTCAACCCAAAAGCTTAAGCTATTGGGTGAGGCTACATTAATAATTTTATATATCTCAACACGCCCCCTTACACGAGAGCCCACTGGGCTTGAAGGGTGGACAATGCATAGGCCTACCTACCTGTGCGAAGAAAGAAATTCCACTAGAAAGAAAGTGGGGGCGGTGAGGATCGAACCCGGTACACCGAGGCTTTGATACCATGTAAAGAACCAATTCAACTCAAAAGCTTAAGCTATTAGGTGAGGCTACATTAATGATTTTATATATCTCAACAATACCCTAAAAAAACGTATGCAGGCTTGCAAAGTACCAAGCAGCATGTGGTCTAAACTAGGCCGTCTCAACCGTTCTGTGATGCCAAAGCTTGATAGAAGAAGCAAGATTTTTGGTTCTGGAGCGGGTCCTGGTATCATGTCTTGCATTGCTGGTCGGCTTCTTTGTGATACATACTTGTGTGCCCGTGACCTATTAAAGGAGGTAAAATATTTGTTTACAAATCATGTCAAGCAGGAATCCTGGTTTTTATTTGTTAGTAACATTTTTACATTGGTTCTTCCAGGTTAGTTATTCTTTAACTCAACTTGCAAAAACACAGCTGAACAAGTCTCGGAAGGAAGTTGCTCCACATGAACTTCCAAAGAAGTTCCAATCAGCAGAATCCCTAATGGAGCTTGTAAGTGCCAGTGTACTCAACATTTTTTTAATTGTTGAATCTTGCGGAAAACTATTTGAAGTGCTCATTGTGAAGGTTAAACATGGATCATTTTTTCAAATGATAAATACTTAATTGTTGTGGAAAATGTTTCAATTCTGATTTTCTGCATCACTGTTTTGGACACACAATTTCTGTTGGACAAATGAGAAATTATTTTGGCAATCCAAAATTTAGATACATTCTGCAATATGTTGCAATCACTTTCAGTATTGAAATATGACATTTGTTATGGTCGTTAATGTTAACACTTCATTTTCCCATACTTCGTATTGTTGACATTAGCTGTGGCCTGAACTTGATAATGCTTGTGGGCTTACTATTTGAGTTGTTGAGAGTGATAGACTTGGGTAGTAGTTTGTTCTATGGAATATTTAATGAATATAATGAACAGTGCAGAATTTGGTGAGTTTATAATCTAAGTTTATAGGTTATGGGATTGTCTTAACTTAACTGATTATTGTTTTGCAAAATTAAAGTGTTGGTCAAACAAATTACTTTTGCCATCTGGAATGTTTGATTGATCGAACATGATAATTACCGTATTTGCTTCTTTGCTGGTTGTCATAGTATTCTCTACTTGTTCAGATTGAATATGGCGAAACTGATGCATGGTTGTCTATGGAACTCATGTTTCATTTGAGTGTTCTTCCTCTCACACGTCAGCTGACTAATATAAGTGGTAATCTGTGGGGAAAAACTCTTCAGGTGTGCCCTTGTAGCATTTATTTGCTAGCTTAATTTGATGGACACGATCTAGCAGGTAGAGGTTCACATCTAATGTTTGCTATTTCAGGGTGCTCGGGCACAAAGAGTGGAGTATCTTTTGTTGCATGCTTTCCATGCAAAGAAATATATTGTGCCAGACAAGTTTCCAAACCATGCAAAAGAAACAAAATTGACGAAACGGAGAGTAAGTAATGGTGTTGAGGATAGCAACTTTGACGAAGCGGGTATTGATGATGCGAACTATGATAATGATGCTCCTGACAGTGATCATAAGAAAAGCAAAAAGGGTCCTTCCTATGCCGGGGGACTGGTTTTAGAGCCAAAGAGGGGTCTATATGACAAATATATATTACTTCTGGACTTCAATAGTCTTTATCCTTCTATCATTCAGGTTAATAATATTCCGTCAAAATATGCTTGGTTTTAATATCGCTTTCTTTCTACCTTGTCATTTTCTCTATTTTATTTACTTGTCCACTTTCCCTCTAATTGTAATTTACGGCAGTTCTACTATTTGCAACTGACACAGCTGAATAACAGGAATACAATATCTGCTTCACAACTGTTGAAAGATCTTCAGACGGATCTTTTCCTCGTCTACCATCTAGTAAAACAACTGGAGTCTTGCCAGAGGTAAAAATGCACAGATACAAACAATTTTTTCTTTTAAAACATTCTCCCAGAATTATAGGACTTTTCAGATTGGTTTAAACTACTAGTTTTATATCTGCTACTACTATTTTTATTTATTTGCATTTGCATGGGTTCACATTAGTGTCATGTCTATTTTTCATTAAATTTATGAATGCATTAGAAATCTGAAATAACTTTATTACCTGTACATGGGCGGTTGTTGCCCCCTGCGCCTTCTGGAGTTTGGAGAGATTAGATGAATACTTATACTTTTGAATTTGTTTGTTGTGCTAGTTGCTGAAAAATCTGGTTCAAAGGAGGAGAATGGTAAAGTCATGGATGAAGACTGCATCTGGTCTTAAAGTTCAGCAACTGGACATTCAGCAGCAAGCACTGAAGCTTACTGCAAACAGGTTTATTTCTTTTCTTACCTCTAATTCTGAATGCCCAAAATTGGTATTTCATTCTTCCTTCTGTATGTAAAATGTTACGGGGTGTGATGCAGTATGTATGGATGCCTGGGATTTTCCAATTCAAGATTTTATGCGAAGCCACTAGCTGAGCTTATAACCCTACAAGTAAGAAGAATATGCTGGCTTATTCAGCATAACCAGTGGCTACCATTCTCAAATATTTTTCCAAAAAAATGTTTTCATTTACATGTCTAATGGTCGTACAGGGAAGGGAGATCCTGCAGAGTACTGTTGATCTTGTTCAGAATAACTTGAATTTAGAGGTTATTTCTACTGTACTGCATCTTGAAGTATCATACGGTTTTAGTTTGTATATCGATTATTTGACTTAGCTGGTTGAGAATATTAGCTCTTAATTATGGTACTGCATTCTGTTTTATAGGTGATCTATGGTGATACTGATTCTATAATGATTTACAGTGGGCTAGATGATATTGCAAAAGCAAAGGCAATGGCTGGAAAAGCTATTCAAGAGGTAAGATTTGACTATTAGCTTTGAGAAGCTCCTTTAAACCTTTATAATGAACTCTTGGGGATTGAGGTTCACATCACCTTTTCTCTGCCCTAATCTTGTGCAACACAGTATTTAGAGCCAGAACCAGCTTTTAGACCTTGTTATTCCCCTATAAAATATTAATGAGTTTTTTCTCTGACTTGAAATACAAAAGAGCATTCCTGTCTATAGTGAGTTCGCATAGTGGATGTAAAGTTGGACACTGCTGCAATGAGGTCTTACCATGTTTGTTTGCAGTTTGCACTATTTGCAACTAAAGATAATTTTGGCATGTGTGCATGTTTCAAGAATAGATGATGGTTTTCCTTTCTAGTTTTCTTTCTTCATCTAATGTTCTTCTGGTCTGTGATTTTTCCATTAATTTGTCATTAGGTCAATAAGAAATATAGATGCTTGGAAATTGATCTTGACGGTTTGTATAAGAGGATGTTACTCCTTAAGAAAAAGAAATATGCAGCTGTAAAGGTGCAGTTCAAAGATGGCACACCATACGAGGTATACTTAAATCTTATTCTTTTGTATTACCTAACATATTGGGAAGAACATGCCAGTGGGATTAACGTATGGTGCAGGTTATTGAACGTAAAGGTCTTGACATTGTTCGTCGCGACTGGAGTTTATTAGCTAAAGAATTAGGAGATTTTTGTTTGACTCAAATTTTGTCGGGAGGGTATGTTATGTTCTGTCCCTCTTCTCTAGTATTTTAACTTTTCCAAAGCTGGCTATTTCAGATGCATGATTGACTCATTTATCAAGTAACTATTAATATTGTGGCTCCCATGCTTACAGGTCATGTGAAGATGTCATCGAATCAATTCACAGTTCTCTCATGAAGGTAAATTGTGATGTCTTGATTATTAGACCTTTGTTTATAATACCCCACCATGTGATTGGAGAATTATAAATTATGACGCATGTGGCTATGAGTTCACTAAACCCTCTGCAGAAGAGTGTAATGCTATTGCTGGGTGTCTAAAACCCTGAATGCCTGTTTGTATATCTCAAGTTGATTGAATTAGTGGATGATGATGCATTGGAGAGTGTATTGAAGTTTATTGGAGATTTTGTTCCATTAAATTTTGCCCCACCTTTTAACTTAAGATTTTAAAATTGGAGTTTCAGGTTACTTTTAGTGCCAACTAATGAATGTCAATTGTAATACAGAAGCAAGAAGAAATGAGGAGTGGACAAGTACCATTAGAGAAATATGTCATCACAAAGACATTGACTAAACCTCCTGATGCTTATCCTGATGCGAAAAACCAGCCACATGTTCTTGTGAGTCCAAGCTATTTTAAATTTTCTATCACTTGAAACAATCTCATCTTTGTTTTGCTTAGCTGATCTAATCAATTATGAGGATGCTTTTCTTTCTCAACATACAGGTGGCACAAAGATTGAAGCAACAAGGTTACTCCTCTGGTTGCTCTGTTGGTGATACAATCCCTTATATAATTTGCTATGAGCAGGTTTGTCCTTTAGTCGCTCTCAATCAAAGGCCAAATGGTGTAGCTTTGAAAATATGTTGTTTGCATTAGGTATTTGGTGTTGGTCATATGCAGTCTCAGCATCTTTGTATTTTTAATATTATGTTCGGCTTTTGAGTAGGGCTGTAATTCAGGCAGTGCAATGGGCATTGCTCAACGTGCCAGGCATCCTGATGAACTAAAACAAGAACAAGGGACATGGCTGATTGACATTGATTACTATCTGTCGCAACAGGTTTGTTAGACTTCAGTAGCTAATTTTATAAATAACAATGATTACCAAGTATTATACCCTGTTTGAGTATTTTTCATTTCCCTCTTGCAGATTCATCCTGTGGTATCACGTCTTTGTGCATCAATTCAGGGCACAAGCCCAGAAAGGTTGGCTGATTGTTTAGGGCTTGACTCTTCAAAGGTAAAATATACTTCCTAGTTTATCGCAGCATTCAGAGGCAAGTAATTTATTTTTATATCAATTGTTCTTCTGAATTGGCAAACTATATTGGTTTACAGTTTCAACATAAATCAAGTGAAGCTTTAGGTGGTGATCCTTCAAGCTCACTCTTGTTTGCTGCTGATGATGAGGAGAGGTAACATCTTGATTCTAAAATTTCTGTCCCATTAATAATCACAAGTCTCTTAAATGTGCACTGCTACCAATTGTAATTTGGAGACGGGCACAACATTTTTTCCCCTTTTAAAGTTCAGTAGTTCTTTGCAGAGATTTGAACAAGTTATAGAATTTTTGTTTGAAGTTCTGTGTAGTGATTCGTGAATGATACTGATAGATTTCTCTAGCCATAATTATTAATTAATGGTTTGAATACAATAAAATTAATTGCAGGTATCGGGGATGTGAGCCGTTGGTCTTGTCATGTCCCAGCTGTTCTGGCACTTTTGACTGCCCACCTGTGTTCAAATCTATTTGTTTGTTGGGAAGTGAAAAGCCAACCAGTTTAGGCACGGAGGAATCTGACTACATTTTCTGGCGTAAGCTGTGCTGCCCTAAATGCCCAGAAGATAGTGGTGGTAGAATTTGTCCTGCAATGATAGCCAATCAGGTTTAACTAATTTTGGATTTAAGGCCTTTAAAAATGTCTTGTTCAACTGCATTTCAGCTAGGAAGTTTTATACGCTGCTTTCAGATCATGGATCATCTTCAAAAATAGATTAGCTGTAGTAATATTTATTAACATGTTTGTTGAATTGGTTTAGCATAGAATATTGTTCCTGAACATCTGCTTATAGTTCATTATACTTCATATCAGGTCAAAAGGCAAGCGGAGAAGTTTGTTTTAATGTACTATAGAGGTCTACTAATGGTAATTAACGTCTCTAAAATATATTTTGAATATTATTAGCCTGTGAAAATTAGATATCACCATCCTGAGCTGACTTTGCATCCAGTGTGATGATGAAATGTGTAAGCATACCACGCGAAGGATCAACCTTCGGTTGGTTGGTGATTCAGAGAGAGGAACTGTTTGTCCAAATTATCCTCGCTGCAACGGGCGTCTCCAAAGAAAGGTTTCACTCCATGAACTTGTTGAATTAAAATTTCTTTCATATATCTGATTTATAATAACGAAGTTTTAATATTTTAGTTTTGTTAATTAACTAAATATATGGTTACTTTTCCAGTACACTGAAGCAGACTTGTACAAGCAGCTCTCATATTTTTGCCATGTGTTGGATACTGTTTGTTGTATAGAAAAGGTACTCACTAAATTATGCGAGAGAAATTTTTATTGGGATAATTTTTAAAAGCTGAAGCAAACCAATCATTTTAATTATTGAAGTTAAATAAATGAATAATAATGATTATACAACTTGATTAGTCATTAATTATTAATTATGTTTTTTCCCCCTTTTTTGTTGCATGTTTTTACTTTTCCAGATGGATGCAAAATCTAGGATACCGTTAGAGAAAGAGTTGATTAAAATTAGACCGATGGTTGATCTGGCAGCATCAACAGTACAGAAGATCAGGGATCGTTGTGCCTATGGGTGGGTGAAGCTGCAGGACCTGCTCATTTCAGTTTAATTTACAAATTATATGCCAAATTCGATTTATATAATCCAGCAAAAGGGACGTCGTATTACCAACGGAGTCATGGTGATATCGTCTCCATCCTTGTGTTTTAAGCAAGCCTGATTGGGTAAATCATGTAAGCAGCAAAGGTCTAATGACTAACGTCTCTACGCAAAATGATATCCCTCTGTATTTTATTTAAGCAGCAGTAATGATTTGTTCTTCATTGGGCAATTGTCCACTGAACAATATATCAAATGTTTTGCAAATGTCCGTTAATATTACAAAAGCTCATCAATTTATTGTAAAGAGGGGTATTAACAAACTGACTTTACTTTCTAACTAAAGCCCTGTTTGTAAGTAGCTTTTATGTCTTTCTTAATTTATAAGTATTTTTTATAAAGGATAACGCTATTTATATTTTGAAAAAAATATTTGGCTTTTGACTTCTTCTTTTTTAAGAAGTTAAAATCTTTAGTTTCTAAAAAAAGTAGGCTTTTGACTTTTTTTGTGTCCAAACAAACTTAAAGTGAGAAGTACTTTTTTTTTCTTGAAAAAAAAAACAATTTTTGGAGAAAAAAATGTCCATTCAAACGGGTCTTAATAATGCTGAAGTAGTAACCCGTTGGCTAAATAGAAAGAAAACTGAAAATAAAGATAGTAAGAAAATATTATTTCTCTTTTTTGAATTTTATTAAACAAAAATAACCAAATAATAATTGGGTTTTTCAAGCCTTAAATAGATAAAACAATGAAAAAGGAATCAAAAGGAATTATGCGCAATCAAAAGAGATAAATTCATACATAATCAGAGAAATAATAAAAAAGTAAAGGAAAAAATATTTATCCTTTTAAATGACACAACTTATGTCATTTTACTCTCACAAAAAAGTGGGACCCACACATTTATTTTTTTGTCAACTCTCTCATCTCTTTTATCTATCTATTTCTCTCTCTTAAAATGACACAACTTTACATCCTTTAAAATGACACACATTTTTCCCAAAAGTAAATAAATAACAATTATTGTAAAGCCGAAACTGTTGATGCCCACGGCAAAGCGACGAGTCTTGCTCAGAAGCCCATTTCGAGTTGCCTATCCAAATTTGAGCCCAATCTAAGTAGGCAAGCTTGGGTGCATCATCCTCCCCAGCTAGGAAAAGATTCGCCCATAAATCTGTTTCGTCTTCATTGATATCAACTTCTTTAGATGGTAATCAATCCAGGTGACAACTCTTCTGGTACAATACACCAAATTCTCTAATTAAAGGTAGAACTTGTGAATGTAATTCTTTGACATGCTTGGTATGTTCATCTACATTTGAACTAAACTGTTTGGAAACTAGAAATGATGCGAGTTCTAAGGGAGTAAGTGGACAAAACTATATACGATCCCAAAAGGTTTGGTTCAGTGTTCGCATCTGTGATTCGTCATAGAAAAATTCTGCCCGAGGTAACATTAAGTTTGATTGCCCTTGACGATCTCCAATTAAACTTCTACCAAAAGCTAAATCGTTATCTCCATGGAGCACGAGGTTATTATCTTCGTTGTGCCCAAGTTCATAATTTTGCTTGCAAATTAAAGATTTCTTGAATGAAGGATCATTCCCCATGCCATCTTTGGATTTGGAATTTTGAAGTACCTCCTTTCTCTTGCACTGTCTTTCTACATTCAAAACCAGTCGACATACATCCTCATATGACCAATACTGCTGCAGGTATACGACATCTGAAATTTCAGTTCGTAATCCTCCCAAGTAATGAGCAATCAATTGCTCGTCCTCCTTTGCGATATCACATTGCATCCGTAGATGGTCAAATTCAGCAGATTCCAACTCTTGATCTTTGAATTCCTTTCTCTGATTCGTGGCTTCTTAATATGTTCACACCAAATTGAGGCATGCTTCCTCAGTTTGATAGTAATCAATTTCACCTTCTGGTCTTCTGTCAAGTCCTTGATGTCAAAGACCCTTTCGACGGTGCGCAACCAATCGACAAAATCATGTAGATGAGGGGCGCCCTCGAATTTCGAGATCTCAATCTTCACCCCAATATTAGCAAAAAAGGATTGATCGCCAGGTTCACTTCGTCCTTGTTGGCATCTTGGTTCCAGAATGGGTTTTCGCTCTTTTTCTCCACATGAGATGATCTTTCGGATTCTCTTCCTTCATCGGACTCGTCCAACCTGTGTTGGGCAAGCAGTTGTTCGAGCTCTTGAATTCATTTGTCTTGTTCTGCCATTGCAGCTACAATTGTAGCGTCTCGCGCGTCGATGAGTGTTTGTTTGTTGTTGCCATTAAGGGTGTTACCACGCCTTCTACTGCCGCCGCAACCTCGTCGTCCATAATCTCGACCTCGATCACCATTGTTCTGTTTAGCTATTTATGTGACAACCAGAGCTCTGATTACCAAATAAATTTGAAGCAGTAACTCATTGGCTAAACAAAAAGAAAGACTGAAAACAAGGATTGCGAGAAAATATTATTTCTCTTTTCTGAATTTTATTAACCAAAAATAATTAAATAACAATAGGGTTCTTCTAGCCTTAAATAGGCAAAACAAAACAAAAACAAAATCAAATAGAATCAAAAAGAATCATGCACAATCAAAGGAGATAATGCACAATCAACACATACTCAAACATAATCAGAGAAATAACAAAAAGGTAAATAATTAACAATTATTATGAAGCCCTAAATTATGGAAAGTTCAAAATTGTTGATGCCCATGGCAAAACGATGAGTTATGCTCAGAAGTTCATTTCGAGTTGCCTAGGGTGTGCATGACAACCTTCTCGGAATCAATTCTTTTTTAATTTCTGTTTCCGAGAACATAAATGGATATGAATCTCGTTTGGTAAAATCGGTTTATTTTTTTGTTCCCGGGATGAAGCAGTTTAATTTTTGTACTGGAGAGCAGAAAAAGGAATTAGAAAATTTATATTTTTTGGTTCCCGGGCACAAAATGAGACACTTATATCTCTCAATCACTCTCCACCTCTACCTTCATCACCACCACCACCATCATCCTGACACGACTGCTGCCACCATCGTCGCCGCTGCCATCGTACCACTAGTGCCGTCGTCACCACCCCTCACCACCCCTCACCACCGCCACCGCCACCGCCACCATTACCACTTCCTCCACTACCACCACCACCTCCACCTATCACTACCACCATGCCACCATCACCACCACCACTATCACCGTCACCTTCACTACCGCCATCAACCACCACCACCATCATCGCAACCACTGCCGTCACCGCCACCATCACCATCACACGCCACTGCCACCACTACCACCACCACTGTCACCAACCACCACTACCATTGCCGCTGTCACTACCGTCACCATCACCGCTGTCGCCGCCACCAACCACCACCACCATCGTTACAGCTATTACCGCCATCACCGCCACCATCGCCACCATTACACCACCCCTGCCACTACCATCATCACGCCATCGCCACAACTACCACCACCACTGTCGCCTACCTCCACCGCCGCCGCCATTGCCACCACCACCACCACCACCATGCCACTGTTACCATTGTTGTCGCCACCAACCACCATTGTCGCAGCCACTGCCGTCACCTCCACCACCACCATCCCCACCACTACCACCGTCCCTGCCACCATTACCACCACCGTCGTTGCAGCCACTGCCGTCACAACCACTGCCGTTACAACCACCACCATTATCTTCACCACGTCACTGCCACCACAACTACCGTACCGCCGCCACCACTACCACAACTAGGGATGTGCAAAATATCCAATTGATTCAAACCAAATTAAAAACCAAATTAAACCAAAATAAAAAATTGATTTTTTTAAAAACCGGTTAAAAAATATATCCACTTTTTAATTTTAAATATGGTTTGGTTGTCCATTTATCAAATGGTTTGGATACATTGGATAACGAAATTATATCCATTTCTGTTTTTTAATCATTTTACGTTTTAACCCTATTCTTTTTCACGATGAGTGTGTTGGGGAGTTCCAGCTTACGATGACAAGTAAGCAATGTTAAAGTGTATTGCAACTTTTTCTTTTTGTTAAAAAAACACAATTATTTAGATACATTTGGTTATGTGTATGATCCAACTCCCTTAATTGCTTAAATCATGAAACAGTAAATTGTTCGAGCTGCTTGCAATGTCAGGATTGCTGATAGATTACAACTGGACGAAAATTCTAAAAAGAAAGGAAATTCTTAGGTAAACACTGTGTGGAAAAATATTATTTGTATGAAGGTTCTCTGGTTTGTAATTAAATTAATATATCTATACAATTATGCTTGACATAGACAAGTTTTTGTCGGATTTGATCCTAATACTGTTGCCAAAATGGAGGAGAAGGAAATCATGGAGATAGCATCAAACAAAGCACTTTTGTTAGCTGATTGCAGAGTTAGATGCATTGTAGACAATGCCAAATGCATTATGAAGGCAAGTACAGAATCAATGTCTATCCAAATTTTTGCTGTTCGATTTTCCATGACATGATCTTCATAGCTAAGTTTGGTTATTGATTGGTCTTTTGTCCACAGATTGTGAGGGAATATGGATCATTCAGTAGCTATATATGGGGTTATGTAAATCACAAACCAGTGATTAACAGATACAGGTACCCAAGAAATGTCCCACTAAGGACTCCAAAAGCAGAGGCTATCAGCAAGGACTTGATAAAGCGTGGCTTTCAATTTATGGGTCCAGTGTTAGTTTACTCTTTTATGCAAGCTGCAAGATTGACCATTGATCATCTTGTGGATTGTTATAGGCACAGTGAATGTATAACTTATACAGTATAAGCCTAGCAGAAAGACCTTGGAGACATATCTAAAATACACTAATTTACTTGCATAACTTTTCTGTTGGTTTTTGTATGAACAACTATTATGTTTTCCATACATGTAAAAATCAAGAAAAAGCAAGCTCTGCAGCCCTAATTACATTATTTGGAATTACATGTGATCCAGTTTATGGGAAAGTCACTAACACCGATTTTAATTACATTATGAATTAAAGTTGTTATAAAACCGGTTTCAATTTTTTGAATTCATTTAATTACATTATGAATTCATTGATCTGTATCCTATTCATTCAAAATTTTTTTTTGTTATAAAATCGATTTTAAACTTTATAATCGGTTTGTGGTTCATAACCGATTTTGAATTAAAACCGGTTTAAAATCAAAATTGGTTATGAACCATAAACTGGTTTTAAACCGGTTTGGACAAATTAAAAACTGATTTTTTTTAAAAAAAGTGGTTCGATTTAAAATCCAAACCGTTTAAAAATGATTTGGTTCGATTTTTGACAATAACCAAACCGAACCGCTCCATGCACACCCCTAATCACAACCACACCATATGGAAAGGAAATTGATGATTCAAATTTTTTTTATATTTAATAGAAATTATTTTTTTATTATATTATTTGTTGTATTATCAAACACAATTATCATTCTCGGAATAAAAATAGAACATGTTATCAAACATATTTTTTTCTCAAAAACAATTCCAAGGCACAGAAATAAAAAAGAATTGTTTCTTTTCCGAAACAATGCTAGAAAATAGAATGATTGTCATGCACACCCCTATCCAATTTGAGCCCAATCCAAATCGATTAGCTTGGGTGCATCATCTAATAAAATTATTTTAAGAAGCACAATTTGTGTAGATTTAGAATAAAATTTTATATTGTGATGTTCCATATCCACAAGCATTATGAGATATGTAAGAGAATTTCGGTAATTCAAATACAAATCAATTATGACGAAAGAATGTAACAAGATACACTTTTTCACGTGGTACAACACCGGCGAATGTAACAAGATACATTTTCACGTGGTACAACACCGGCGTATACGTTTTCAAATAATCCGTAAATTATGGGTTTAAATTCGGCAAGCGAAATATTTTTTACAACCTTTTAAGAAAAGCATTAAGGTTCAGTACATGAACTGTTGTGACATACCAGTTTAGCTATAATCAATACTACGAAGTAATAAAAAATGCATAGAAAAGCAGCTTATTTTGGGATAAGGATAATTTATTGATTATATTCTTAAAGAATAATGGGTACTCCAATATAAATGTACAGAATCATATAATTTGAAACCATTTTGAATACATGTATATGCTGTGATTATAAGAAAGAAACTACTATCGCAATCTGTTTTTGCCCCCATCTTTAAGAAGCATGCCATTTTATTTTCCTTTTACTGCAGCTCGCCAACAGGTGCCTCGTTGAGCCACAAGAAATGAATGAAGTCATATAACTTTGCACTTACACTGACCTGCTCAAAGTTTTAAGTAAAAATATTAAAAATAATTCGTGATGAAAATTATAGCATACATTAAAATAGGCATAAATTTCAGACCTTGTACGGAGTAGGATTAAGTCTCCTCATGTGGTCAGGTCGCATTTGCTCAAGTTGCTTGATGCATCGCTCTCTAATGTCCCTTAGAGGTGGCAAAGTCTCACTCTTTTTATCTTCAAGAAATTATAAGTATGTTAAAAATGAAAAATAAAAATTGACCGTCATAAGCTGCATTTACCGAATATCTGAATTGCGGATAAAAGCTGGTAAGCTCCTTTATATTTTTGAGGAGCAAACTACAAGAATTTGATGATATAATCATTTCACATAGGAGGGGTGATACATTTAGGAACCATAGCATTTACAGAGGAGATTATATGTTTACAATTTTTAGTTTTAAGAGGTTACTGTAGCAGGTTTAAAAAAAGGACAGATCTCCCTATACACAAGGCTTCTCCACAATGAAGGGATAAGGGCAAGGGTGAAGGTCGATTGTAGACAACTTTATCCTTTAGTTTTGCAACCTTCCGATCACAAAAGAGCAACCCAAGCGTTGCTTCAAGGCTCATCCTCAAATTGAGGCGGGTTTAGAAGTTACAAGAAAATCATAATAGAATTGAGTTGGTTAATAATGTCAGGGGGTAACCTTAAAAAAGTTATAAGAAGTTTCCTTTTCCCTAAGCAAACAAATATAGGTAAAGTGCTCAGATTTATCAATAAGCTTCTATTTATCTCCATGATTTTCAATTATATCTTAGTTTTTACCTGAACTCCCAGCACAGTAACACCTCAGAAGCTCCTCAACATGTTGTGGCACCACATAAGCTCTCTTGGATTCTTGAAAGGGATGACGGCACAGGATTCTTTCTCCCACCTATAACAAAAAAAATTGTTAAAAGATATTTATGCCTATATTTATAAATATACGGAATTGGCTCATGTGGAGGCAATGGTAACTAGCCAAGAGATAGGAAACTTGACGCGAAATAAAATGTTTTGTTCCAGTTTGGAGAGGGTCACGCACACTAAGTGAAAAATACCTTTGGAGAGGGTTCATTTTCCCCAGTCATTATGTCTACCAGGGGATAACCTTCTTTCCCATACAATCTATAAATTCGCTTCTTACATGGAATAGATACCTAAAATCAAAGAGAGGAACAAAAGGATAAAAAGATTATAATTCAATGCGAGTAGATTATTCCACTACCATGTTCTGTTTAGAGTGTTTCAAACCTTTGAGACATCTTCAGAAAGTTTGATTCGAGGTTGATTATTTATCTCAACCAGCTTGAAAACAACACCTAAAGCAGCTTGAGCATAACATGTAACCAGGTATGTCCCAATTCCATAGGCATCAACCTCGTGACCCTGTAGGGAAAAATGCAATCCAATAAATTTTTTTGGATAAGAAACTATATGTCATTGTTAATATTTCCTTTTTATCAAAGTCAATATAAATAACGCCAAGCTGTTTACAATTTACCCTATAAATATATGCGTGGTTTACTGTTGACCTTAATATCTAAGGTGAATTGTGATTAATTGGAGATTGATTCTTGTTGAGATATATAAAACCATTAATGTAGCCTCACCCAACAGCTTAAGGTTTTGGGTTGAATTGGTTCTTTATATGGTATCAGAGCCTCGGTGTACCGGGTTCGATCCTCACCGCTCCCCACTTTATTTCTAGTGGAATTTCTTTCTTCGCACAAGTAGGTGGGCCTGTGCATTGTCCACCCTTCAAGCCCAGTGGGCTCTCGTGTGAGGGGGCGTGTTGAGATATATAAAACCATTAATATAGCCTCACCCAACAGCTTAAAGTTTTGGGTTGAATTTGTTCTTTACAATTCTAGGTGGCCGATTGGAGCTTGACTGATTGGCAGCATATGCTTGTAATCTAGTACTATGAAGTAAGGTATAGGCTGGGGGAGATTAGCACAAATTGTGCTTCCACCTAAACCTTTCTATACTATCCCCATCTCTCTTACTTTTACTGACTCTTCATTTCTCTCCAATTTTTCAACATGTTAACCTAAGGTACCATCCATGTTGACTTGAACCCACCAAAATTTCAGTCGTATAGAGTTGCCTTCTATACCTTAAAAAGATTTTTTTTATCTGATACTACAATTAAAAAGTAAGAACACAATAAAAACGGGAACCCAGACAGGGAGAGCTTAACTTTTAGGCTGACGGTCCTTTGACCATAGCCATTGGCCCAACTACAAACAGCCAACCTCAAAATCATAGTTCAATCAATTACTGATAAATTCATATAAGCCATAAACACATGCCAGCTGAATGGGAGGACTGGCATCTCAATATTAGGACAGATTGATATATTGGCCATTGACATTCATATTGATCTATACAAAATTGCAGAAAAAAGTACAAATAAAATACTGGGACATCAGTCACTAGTGATTCTTGCATTTTGAATTCTTTATACCAATTGGAAAAAGGCTAAAAATTCTAGTTTGCAAAGAATAATTACCTGTTTATTTAAAGCATCTAGTGTTTCCTCATTAAGATCATTACTAGCTGTGATAGTCATCTTTCCAAAACCGGACAATCCAAATTCCTTCTCAATCGAGCAAAAGAGCTTCCTGACCTCACAAGACAAATATGCAAGGTCACCAGAGTCCAGTCTAATGCCAACTGCTTTGTATCTGCACAGGACATCATCTAAACTCAGCAATGGATACCAAGTACATGATTTTTTGAAAAAGATGAAATGGTCTTATTTTTTTTAAAGGGTGGGGCGATGCTAAGAGACTAGTAGAAGCCAATAGTTATTATGACATAATCCATGTAAGAGGAGACAATACCGTCAATTAACGACAATAAAACATAATAGAACACAGATAAAGGCTTCTTAACACAAGAAACATTTGCAACAAAATACATGCAAACCCCAGAAAGGCAACGAAGAAAATACAAAAAATAGATCATTTTAGCTAATAATCAAGGAAGCAATAAGAAAAGCAAAAAGGTTTTGTCCCCATCAACCAAAATCAACTGGGAAAACTAACAAACAGCTATGTTAAACCTCTAATCAAGTGATAGTGATAAACATGAAAAACTTCTTGACGTACCCCAAATCATTGAGAGCTAATGCAACTGCACAGAAGTTAGGGATTCCACTTCTCATGACCTGTCAACAGACGCAAATGTGATTATATGAAGAAATAGCTAAACTAAACCAGAACAAGTTAAAGACATAAAATAGGGATAAGCAAGATTTACCCACGACCATGGGACATTGCTGGTTAAAATGATGCTAAGATTATACATGTCTGTTTACAAGAAATATAAAGTTACTAAGAAATATTAAATACTTACATCATAAGTATCTATAAGGGCAAGAAAGCTATCAGGAAATGCCAATGCATATGATGTGAATGCTGCCAGCTCGCTTTGATTGGTTTCAGCAAAAACGCCACGTAATGAATTTGACCACTGCATAGTGGGAACACAACATAGATTATACACTGACAAATCCATCTTCGATCTTGTAAGAGTGCAAAACATAAAGGGTAAAGTGTGTGTCATTTTAAGAGAGAGAAAGAGATAGATAAAAGAGGAGAGAGAGTTGACCAAAAAAAATAAAGGTGTAGGTCCCACCTATTTATGAGAGTGAAATGATATAAGTTGTGTCATTTAAAAGGATAAACACTTTTTCCAAACATAAATATATGCAACAAAAATGGTCACGTGAAGCAGAAAGGGAGAAAAGGAAAAAATTGAAGGAGAAGGCAGGGGTGAGGGGGAATCAGAGTAGAACAGGGGAAGGACTAGATCTAAGAGGGAGAAACAGAATAGTGATGCTTAATCAATACAAAAATCAAGTCTACAAATCTAGAAAATTCAGCACACAACAATCATAAATAAGGAGACCCAACTTCATAACCATGTAAGTCCTAAATGATTAAAAACTCCACATAACCCTAATTTATCAAAAACACCCTAACAGCCCCAAAAATACTAAGAATTCCAAAATCACAATAAATTCCCAATACAACATTCCGTAAAGTTAATAATCCTAATATCCATATTCTATATCTTCCTATTTCTATCCTATGTTCCATCAGATAGTAATCATTTACAACTTTGGCATGAATTCAGGCTTCCAGCTTTCATGATATGGCAATCACAATAGGTAGACATACTAGAACATCACTGCATTTGGTCATAAAGGTAACTGCCACCACACCAAACTAAATACCACTCCCCTAAAAAAGAATTTAGTTAAAAGCTGCAATAAAAAATATCATTTAGGATGTAAAGGCTTATATCATGACACCTGAATTTTGCTCAGCCATCTTTGAACCAAACTAACAAAATCTTCACATGCACTTGAACCATCTTTTCTACGAAGTGATTTGTCTATAATCTCGTCAAGGCTCTGCATATCACAGAACAGACAAGGTACACATAAAAGTAAGCAAAGGTAATATAACAGAAAGTGACTCAAGTGGTAAAAAAGTATGACAATACTAATAACAGAAATCACACAAGGATACGAAAAAATAAAATAAAAAATTCTAGACTGAAATTCTATTAATATAATAAGAAGGGATCTACCTCACAATTTCAATGTCAAAGTTTCCTTTGCTCTAACTCTGAACTTATGGGATCTCTCTCTCCTCTCTGTAAGCTCACTTGTTTCCTCTTAATTCTACCACTAAATTTGTCACTCTCCAATCTTAACCTTAGGTAAAAGAAATCTTCTCTTTGCCAGCCGTAAATTTCAGCATTACTACTTCAAAGAGGTTTATAAATGTCTGAACTAATTGCACTGCAATTTTTTTTTTTTTTTTTGATGAATTACAAATGCCTGAACTAATTGCCAGGCGTTAATTGCACTGCATTGTTACTTAACTTTTTCTTCCAGTACAAATGTGTAACTCTCCTTTTAACAGACATAGTAATTGGAAATAATCAAATAGAGTTCTGTCCCTTTTGGCATTTTGCAAAGATAGACAAAACAGAAATCTTGCTCTTTAACCAATATTGTGTTATGTAATACAAATGAAATGACAAGTAGAATTAATTGGAATTATCTTCATAAACATCATTTAAATATGTAACAAAATTTCAATGAAATGGATACACACCATAAATGAGCTAACGAAGGCATGGGAATGAGTGCCGCGAAGGGGAATCCCGAATAATCTTGCAGCTGCAACATTGCTATTGTGTGCCATATGAAAATGCCGAGTTATACAAAAGAAAATGTAAGAAGCAATAAATTCAACGTATCTAAACAAAATGGTAAAGAGGGAGGTCATGATCATCATGTCACGGTAGAAATGATGATATTATAATTAAGATTAGTTGACATCTATGTTTGAACCTTATCCTTCATCCTAGCATTCATTTTGCCTCTCAGTTCTCTCATTACTCTTTCAAAACCTCAAAACCAAATTTCGGTTATTTTATTTCTTGCAATATGCATTCATGCAAGAGTAATGATGTGTACAAGGATCTCCTCACCCCTACTCTCGCAAGTCAGGGTTTCACGGGGAGTTGTTTTTGTTTTGTTTCGATGCTGCATTGATGCATATGACTGAAAATGGGACATGGTAAGAGATATTAATCACTTCAAATGATTTATTTCTATCCTGTCATAGTAAACACACCCCAAACAAAAGCCTAGCTTGTTGGAGGAACTTTGACCTAAGTCAATTATAAAGTACAAACTAATAGCGGTTACACTGCCGTAATATATAAGCAGAGTTTACACGACATGCTGCCAAAATCATGCCCTGCAATCTTAAATCAACAGTAATTAAGTATCTTTGATCTTTTGCTAGGTATTAAAAAATATCAGTTAAAAATATATTTGATTAAACTAATACTAACACTTTGTACTATATTGGCATTTAAAAGAGTTTAGTCCTCAAAAATCTCAAACACGATAACCGCTAGATATACACATAACACAATGAACATTTCGCCCTATTATAGTGCCAAACACACCAGAATTGATGTTGTTTAATAGATAATACCTTGTTGCATCAAATCCTCCAATATAGCAGTACTTTGATGCACCTACTCCACCATCAGGCCCCTACATTCAAAATAACATTCTTTTGATAAATATTGAGAAAGGAAAGTCTTCCTAAATTTACTCACCAATTTCATATATTATTTTTTCAGTAAGACTAGAAACCTGGGCCCTTCGAAGTCCAAACTCAAGTAGAACTTTTGATTTTCCAGCAACAAAACGATGCCTTGCAGCATTAGTAGTAACTAATGACGCAAAATTAATTAGGTTGACAAAAGGAGTTTCCAGCAATTGAACAACCTGAACAGTATAAAAGACAAGTTAATGTAAGAAGTAGATAGTCCATGAATGAAATCTGAATTAAATTTTTTATATGCTAAAAGAGAGTATTTAATGGAAGCAAGTACTCACGGCAACTGGACCTTCAACTCTCAACATGGGTACCTTAGGAAAAACCACCGATCCTTCAGGAATAGCATACAACTCGACATCAGAGCAGTCAATTCCCCTAAGATAGTCAAAGAAGCCATCCTATGATTTAATCAATAATTACCAAAGTCAAAATTTATTATGAAAGGAGAATTTATTAGAAAAATGCCAGCAGCATCAAACTTTACTCAAAATCATTGTAAACAATATCAACAGCCCTATTATTTTGGCCTTACACTTGGTCCCATGCCATCTATAAAGAAACAAAGCAACATAATTGTCCAAAAACAGAGTTCCTTGATTCTTCGTAACCATCAGTTGTATTTCTTTTTTGATGACATTAATGACAAATCAAAACACAAGAATGAAAAAGAAAAAGAAGAACCAATAGTTCTGTGTGCTTAAGGAGTACAAAGACTACAAAGCAGCCTCTACATTCGTGGTTGTTAACATGCATATCATTTAAACCAGCCTACCTAGCCACCACATAATGAAACGAAGAATGTCATAGCCATGAACATGGTTTACCTCACATGAATCAGATAAATTTTTCTTGATAAAATCTATCTCTTCCTCAGTGAGCTTGTAATTAGCAATGAACCTCACGCATTCTTCCAAACCAGCGAAGACAGTATACTCCCCGCCAAAGGGATTCTTCCGAAAATACAAATCGAACCTGAAAGAAAATTACACTTAAAACCGAATCTTATTATAAAACACGTATCAAATTGCATCAGAAAGTTTAAAGGAAAACTCATATTCAATAATAAAATTAGCCAACGAATCATGCAATGAATCATAGAAGATTTGATTGGATTACTCACACAGCACGTTCTTGATGCTTGCCAGCTTTCCAGTATGCGTAAGCCATGGTGAATTGATAGTGATCCGTGAGCAGAGGCGTGACCATTGGGTTCGTGGGTCCGGGTATGGCCCGAACCGGATGCTGCTTCTTGGAGCCATTCGCCGCCATTGTTGGTGTATAACAAACAAGGTCACAAGTCAAGTCTGAAGCCCGCACAATAAGATGAACTTAGGAGTGAAGAGCGTTTCAATGAAAATGAATAGAGAGAGAGAGAGAGAGAGAGAAGAGAAATTCGACTTTTTATGTAAAGCGTGAATTTTTTATTTTCTTGGACACGACAAGTAATAACTGGAAAACACGAAGGTGAAAAAAATTTAAGGGTTTCCTTTTCGAGATCAGATTCAGCGATGCTTTTTGTTTGTACTTTTGTTGATTCCCTGTCCTCTGTGGACTTCAACCTTTTCCATACACGTGGCAGTCTCTGTCTCTGTCTCTGTCTCCTCTAATTTTAGCTATCCTTCTCTCATTATTATACTACATTTCACAGCACAGTACCACTTTGGTTTATAGCATGTCTATACTATTCTCAACCTTGCTTCTTATCAAAATTGCATGTAAAATGAAAATTTTGCAGTACTTGTCATTTTCTCTAATTTTTAGCCTTTGATCATTTTGATGCCAAATCCCTCCACACAATATAATTATCAGGGATCATTTACTTGTAGACAGTAGTGTGAAATTAATCAAATTAAACAATCATATTGTAAATTGTAAATTGATAACAACAACCGCAAAAGGCAAACCCAAACTATTTAATCTAAATCGATTCAACAATCAAATCGTTTTTTAAATCAACAGAACCATTGTTCAGTTGCGATTCGGGAACCGTGCAGACAGTGTTCCAACAAATCTCATCCACTATAACGAATAGCTGTGTGACTAAAAAGTTTTAAGATAAAGAACCCAGAGTGCAGGGCCATGCACGCATTGCAGAACAAAGTTTTGGTGTCTTTCACCCAAACTGTGCCAAAAGAATTTCAAAATCATGTATTGACTAAACGCTGCAGCGTTTGGGACGTCTAATTTGTTGGAAATCAATACACACGAATCGAAAAGAGAAGATAAATTGATCACAAATACTTACATGATTCACCCACTGCAGTGCAGCTTGTCTATGTTATATTAGCCTAACCAACAATAGTTACAAGTCACTCAATCAATTTATAAATAGGATTTGTTATGGACTCGTATATAATGATTATCTAATATATAGTCCAGATAATAAAGTTAAGAATCTAATATAATCAAAAGATAATATCAAATGTAAAGTATTAATTCTAATACGATACCATCACACTTAAGTTTGGGCTTCTAGAAGATGCACAAAAGATCCAGAATTCTCATATCCACAGATAAAGTAAAACCTACAAATATGATTTATTCTCTTTCTTTATTGTTATGTTGTCAGCATACACACACCACTCTTTTGGCAAAATCCATTATTATTTGTGTATAGCGTCTAATTAATAAAAAAATGACTAAGAAACTCTAACAAAAAGCTTAAGTCCAAATTACTAAGAAAAGGAAAATTATAATAAATTAGAGGTCCACAACCGTACCATATCCCTATATATTTGTGTCTGTTGCGTTGGATTTATACTATTAGCTTCCTGCTAATCCCACCAACAAAATTTTTTACCATGAAATATGAGTCATGGCCAATATAATTGATAAAAAGGCAATTGAATATGACCCACTTAGTCTAGTCAAAAAATTTATGATAATGATAGTGGCGTGGACCAATATAATAGGGTCAGTATTCAAGAGATTCTAGGCCCAAATCTTACATCCTTCATCACGAAGAAAACACAACTGAATATGATTAAATCAAATATTATTGTGCCATACTGCTTTGATACTTCATATACAAAGCTATTTCAAGTCACCTAGATATATCTTTGTAAATAGACAAATATTGTCACCACACCTAATTGCTGGGTCTCTTTGATAAATTTTCAAAATAGTTTCTCACACGCTACATAAATAATGCTACACAAGCTTGAAGGTATTTATCTTCTTTCTTTAACTTAAACATGCCCGAATCATAATTCATCAGAGTATCGGGATATTTTGAAGGTACACTCTCACCTTATTTTATTCAAGACCCATGAAGAAATAACTTCAAACTATCATCTAAAGAGCCTTAACAAAAGTAGAGGGGAGATATTCTTACTACCAAAAATATCCACGACCAATCTACTACCTCCACAATTACCATTGGATCAAAGAGAGAGAATGCTAAAAAGTTTTTGAAGAAAGAGAAAATGTTGATTCAATGATGATTATGGAGGTAGTGGGTTGGTAGTGAATTTTTCTAGTAGTAAGAATATCTCCACTCATTAAAAATATTATGGTCATCCCAGAAATCCAGGTATAAGGAGATAGTATTAAAAAATGTTTTAGAAGGGCATAAAACATAAATAAATTAATAAAAACAACTTTTCATATGATTTTACTTGAATCTTAAAAGTAAATTAAATAGTATTACAGACATAGATAAGAAGTTTTTATTTTTTAATTTTAAAAATCATGTGTTATAGAAGGACTTAAAATACATCGCGTCAAATTACTCACACCAATGGACAAATGATTTGATAGCTCTATCGACTATTACCGGAGCAATCCCCTTGAATATAATAATATACATTTTAATTTCGTTGAATTGATTAGTATCTTAAAGATCAACTTCGGTCAAAATGGACACATCAAATGCATGCTAAGAAACGAAATCATTATTATCAATGATAGAAGCCATTTTTCAGATAAATTATTACCCTGTATTGTTAGCATATACTACTAAGGATGTTCAGGTGGAATGCCGTAGCACCTTTAGAACGAGTAAAAAAGTCTTTAATTGTAGGCATAAATAAGTGAAACTCATAAAATAAAAATATTCAAACGGATCAATTATTTCTAACTTTTAGTAGATGATGCTGTTTCAAGAAAAATATAAATAAATAAAATAAATCTCCTTCCAAACCAGCAGATAAATGACTCAGAATCTCTGATTTCTTAGAACCTTAAAGGAGGCCAATGCAGCACGTGATACAAACAAGAAGCTTCGTCGTGATTGGATGAAAATCCTTGATTTTCGGATATTCTTTTACAGGTTCCAATTTTCGTAGTATCCTGCACCTAAATCAGTTTCTACTTTCTACCAAATATTTCAGTAAAGTAAAGCCATTAAAGGTAGTTTACGTATGGTACAAAATAGAAGTCTTCAATACTACCATCCCCCTGCCAACCTTCATAAAAAGAAAAAAGAAATGCAACATCATATGAATGCAATGTGCGATTCAGAAAATGACGCACAAAAACTTCAAAAATAGGAGATTAGTATAATCTTAAGCTGAAATCATCATAGGAGATTTTACAGTACAACAATTGGCAGTTATCTCTGCATACATTATAGATAATTCATCAACTTGAGAAGCTGGGGTTAAATTCGTCAGAGGCTTGTTAATTGCATCACATAAAGCTTAAGGGATTCCTGCTTTTATGTGAAACAAATATTCAAAAAGTATTGGAAGCCTGGCAAATTCCAAAAAACTGATTTTAAAGTCTTCGAGTTACCATTGCAGGTCTTTTTTTCCCGTCCGCAGTTTGCTGAAGAACTTTTTAAGACAAGTTGCATGCATGAAGATATACATCAAAGATGCTATGTGCACCATATACCAATTACCTACTTAACTGCGATGTAAGAATAGTGTTGGGCTCGTTATTTCTTATGAACACTCCTCCTGACTGATCTCTTCCCGCAATGCATGTTTGTAAGGAGTTGTTGTCCTTAGGTTCAGATATTTGCGTGTTAAAGGAGAGTGATACTGTAGCCAACGTCCCTGAAAAGAGGGTGGTGGGTAATGAGATTTGTTGTAATGGAATAGTTACATTGAATTGTACAAGAAGAAACATGCGCACCTTGAGAACCACCTAATGGATTGGTATCTGAATGGATTGCATTGGGTTGCTGATGCTGCATCATGTCTTCCCCACGAATAGGCTTTACAATTCAAGGGAAAACACCATGTAACAATGACTGAAATTATACTTTTAACAAGATATGACATTCCACATGGTTGAGCTTACCTCAGAAGATCTTCTGGGTTGAAGAGGATTTATATGCGCTGGGATTCGGGATTCCAGTCCAAAAGAAGTTTCTGAGTTGTTAATAAATGAAGGATAGGGCCCTGATGACTGATTTGGCAGAGTGTGTTTGTTAGGTAGATTGGATGCATAGTGCAAGGGGTTCTCTTGGTGCAGAGGCAGAGTTGCTGTCATGTTTAAAGGGGTAGACCTGTTTCCTTCACTTAACTCCATATTCATCCGAGACAATTGCAGAGGCTGCACGCCTTCAGGAAAGCACATTGGATGCAAACTCAATCCATTTCTCATTGACAGCATCTGAAACATTATCATAAAGGTCACATACAGTTCAGGACTTATCTACATTCAAGAGCCAATTCTATCGAACAAAACCCATTTCAAAGTATAACATAAGTTTAATAATCGTAAGCTTTAGTTCATCATATTCATCACATTTATCTAAATATATGTAAAAATAATAATATCATGACCCCACTCCCTAGAAAAAGCTTCGGAGGGCCATAAGGTATCATTGCTGACGAGCAAGATTATTTTAAAATTGTTGTCTATGCTGCCCTTATTTTTTATAATGAAACTAATCAAGATTTAGGTTGATTCTCTAACTGAGAATTAAGTAGTTATAATGCTAATTTAGAGTGAAGGTTTCCTTTTAATCTGAGCAGTAAAGGCGTCCATTTGTTAATTGCTGTAAACTTCATTGTCAATATCAAGTCCACAATAAGATCAGACCCATCCTTTGCAATAGGCAACAACACTCCTATTTGCTTGATTGGCCAGAGACAAAAAATTAAGCTTGACACGTCATTTTTTATTCCCTGCTAATTCTCCTATCCAGTTGTTATCATTAGTTAGAGATAAAAAAAATATTATTAAAAGAATTCTATAAAGATATCTTCATCACAATTACAATTTACAGGTCAACTCCAACCGCACCTCAGGCTTACACACACACATATATATATATATATATGCAAACAGCAATAACAAAAAACTAACTAGCTTATCATAGCAGCAAAAATAAACAATGGCACTTCAAATGTTACTGTTAGTAATACTTTGAATACTAAAACTCGCAATTATAAGTAGCATCAATATTGCTGACGATTTTGTTGCAGGCTTCAGCATAATGGTAGCAGTTTATACATTCAAGTAGAATGCCATTTACATTTTGCATAAAGACAACAGTTCCAGCTAGGCTTTTCTTAAATTTTCCAATATTGTTCAGTTTTCCATACATACTGTTTACAGACAAAGAATTGCAGACAAGATAACAATGGCTAGAATATCAAAACTCATGACCTAACATCTTCACTTAAATTCCAATTTAAGTTAGGAAGACCAGGAGAAAATAAAGATCCCAGCCTCCCAAATAGGACAATAATGCAGCATATAAAATAGATATAGACCTGTACTTGGAGCTGAAGCTGTTTAAGGTATTCAATAGCTTCATCGAGCATTGAAGCCTTATCAGTCTGCCACACACATAAAACAATCCACAATTGTGAGACTAATTTATGAATATTAAAGTGCACCCTTTAAACTATAAGGTTGAAGAAGCTTGTGTACCTTGTTAGAATTTGGAATTAGATTTTGCAAAGCCTTCATTTTCTCGTTGATCCTACTCCTCCTTCGCTGTTCAACAATTCCCAGCCCCCAGGCCAGAGTGAAAGGACACAAGGAATATTGCATAAGCATAAATAAAATCAAACCCAAGTACAACAAACAACCATCAACAGAAATTCACAAACCTTTTCAGACAAATTATGAACTTCAGCTGCTCTGCTTCTTTTTGATGAACTCCTAGAAGGAGCAGACTTTGTTGGAACTTCTTCAGCCAATGCTTCAACACCCTCCTACATTCAGAAACTGTCAACCAATTGTACTTCAAAAGTGAATATAGCAAAAGATGCAGTTTTTCACTTCAAATCCCAACCAAAGCAACAAATTTAGCCCCTTTTTTTTACCCCAATGAAAAAGTTTTACAAAGATCCGGAGTAGAAAAAGACCAAGAATCAAAGTTATATTCCTTTTTTTTTTCTTTTTTTTTTTGCTACACTCTCAGTTAACATCCATAGACCTAGCCAAAATACAAATAGAACAAAAAGTTAACCATGTTACCATTAAAACAATGTCAAAACGGGAACCTATTATGATAACAAACAATTTTCGCTGAGAAGCAAAATATAGCATCTACCTCTAGTCCTCAAACCTGTTTCTTACATTATCTTCGCAGTCAAGCAGAGAAAAACTACAAAGATATACACTCATACAAACAACTACAGAAAAGGAAAAAAAAGAGAGAAAAAAAAGACTTCAATCTGAAAGTGTAGAATAGAAGTAATACCTCACTTTCACAATCATAATCATCAGTTTCGTTCTCGCTCACTGCCACAGACGAGGAAGACACATTTGCAGCAGAACCACCCTGACCCTTGATTGAACTGCAAGTGTTTACTCCAGCGGAGGAATCAAGGGCCGAGATCTTACCATCTTGGAGCGATGACGATGGGAAAGAAGGTTGTGCATTTACAGCGTTGGAGTTGCAGGATCCAGGCATAGACGAAGAAGAGGATGAACGGAGGAGAATCTGACGAAGAAAAAGAGAGATTTCGTCTTGAGAGGAGGAAGACGAAGAGAAATTCTCTTCAAACTGATACATATCCCCCATATTTCTGCAATGCAACACACACAGGCACACAGAGAGAGAGAGACACACACTATCTCTCTCTCTGAGGGTGACAAAAGAGAAGAATGAGTGTGAGTTTGGGGTTAGAAGAACGTTGGTTGGTTGCAGAAATGAGAGATTCCTGGTTGGGCTGGTTAGAGTGTGGTGCTTTGTGTGTTTGTTTGTTGTAAAGAGAAGTAATGGCAATGCAACTACTTTCAGAAACCGATGGAAAAAGGAAAAGGAAAAAAGCAAGGCAAGGACATGTTATGGGGAATTGTGGGCGGGTTTTGGATCAGAATTTATGTTATGCTATCACTCACACCCACGCGCCATTACATCTAACAACGCTTCACTTCCCACTTTTAAAACCCTCTTAAAATAACACTATTATTAAATATTATTAACCTTAACCACCACAAATACGAGGCATCGCATCTTGTTGCGCTTCATGTTCCGGTTACAGTTCTTGTTTTCTGTTTCTGCTTTGTCAGTCCAATGGAGTGGAGCTCCCGTGGTTGCACGCTCCATTACATGTCGCAGTGGCACGTGAGCCACATTACCATTTTCTTTATTCCCTATCTTTGCCAATGTTTATTTGTTTTTACTTACGAGGAAAATATTTTTTATTGGATCCTGTTAATGGTAAATTTTACTTAATAAAACTATGAATTTTAAATTCGACAACAACCTTAAAGTTAGTATTAGTTATACAGCTAAAAGGTTCACACTTTTTTTTTTCGGTACAAAGTGTTCCCACTTTTCATATTGGAGTAAGCAAGTGTTAAAATACGTTTCTATTCGGTATTCACTATTTTCTCTCTGAGTGTCTTTAACCACGTATGTATACCGGTGCTCATATTATTTAAGTTCGCTGAATCTGGTCAGGTGACACATGTTTTCCTCCATCTACAATGTATGCAAAGCGAAAAAACAACTAGAAGTGGGCAAGGGGTTGTAAAGATTTTTATAATTTACCTAAAATGATAACTTCGAACTAAGTTGTAACAAGATGAAGTTATGCTCTTGTTCCTAGTTTACTGTTTGTCCCCATGGACCAAATTTTTACACTAAGTCCGATACTTAAAAGAGTTGTCAAAATAGATTATGCTCGTGAGTTAATTGGGTCCAATTCATTAAAAGATTATTACAAAATTAATTTATTTAGATCTTGAATTGTTATTATTTAGCTCACATGTTTGATGATTCACAAGTTATGTAAATTCTACTGTAGTTAATCCATTTTTTAATTTAAAAAATTAAAAGGAAAATTAGGTGTTTCCTTGTTTTGCCTCTATTTTCGAGAGGATATTATAAAGAAATTCTACATCTGGGAGGTGGACCAACCGGTATATCCTATCAACTCATATAGATGGAGACGAGTTGGTTATTTTTTTGGCTCACTACAAAAATAAGCGGGATCGAGTTAACTCATTTTGTACTTATTATACTTATGGTCAGCCAGCCTGAGTGAAGTAAGTTGGCCCGTTTTCACTCGCAGTTCTATCAATATCAAGAAATATAGTCTATGTTTGGTAATTAATTAAGGGTTTTATAAGAGTTATGTTGTAAGAAAAATGATTGTGTAATGTTATAGAGATTCGTTTTGCGTGCCGTAATTTTTTTTTTCATTTTCTTCAAAAAGTGTGGGGCCCACAAAATGTTGTGTGAATAGGAAAGTTTGTTGTGTCATGTTAAATGACAAATGCAAATCCTATTAATTAATTATTAACATTAATCTTAAAAAAAGTTCCTCCGAATACTATTTAAGAAAAATAATTATTTTCATTGAGTAAAGGGGGTGTATTAGATTGGAATTTCAAAGAATTTTAATGGATTATTTTTGGACAAAAAAATCCATTGGTATTCGATTAGGATTTTAATGGATTGAAAAAAAGTCACGTGGTATTCGATTAGGATTTTAAAGAATTATTTTAGAATCCGTCCAAATCCGTTGGTATTCAATCAGTATTTTAAACAATGGAATCATAATCTCGTGGCATTCAAAAATTCGATGATTTTAATGGATTTTCTATTGGTGTGAATTTCGTGAGACTTTTTAGTGAAAAATATAAATATGATGCTTCTCTCACAATCTCACCCTAACCCCTAGGATTTCTTGAGATTCCTCTCAATAGCATTTCACAATCTATTATAGACTTTTTTCTCAAAGCCAAGGTATGTTCTTTTTCTCTCATATTTTTTCAAGTTTTGGTATTCTCCCTTCCTGATTAATGATTATGTTTGTCATCTGTATTTATCAGGGTTTTGTATTCCTTCTTCATAATTAATGACGTGCTTCATTGTTTTTTGCCATCTGTATTTTTAAATATATGTATCAGGTTTTATGACTCCCTGATTGTCGTCTATTATTGATTTTTATTGTGACTCTTTTAGGTTTTGAATTATTGGTTGCATTTTTATTGAATTATTTGAGTTATTCACGTGGGATTTTATTTTCTTCTTTTTTAATTGTTTGCAGTCTCGTATATTTTTTTATATACATATAATGTCACAATCGAGCATGTATAAAATAATGACATAGAGGAAGAAGAAATAGTCGTTGAATTGACAAAGAAAGAGTTGATGAAGAAATAGATGAAGAATTCTATGAAGCCATGTACATGTTGATGATGGCAATATATGCATTGATGCATGTGTTAAATCAATTTTTTATTATGATGGATGGTGAACATATTGAACGTCTATTGACTAGAAGGCGAATTACTAGTATAAGATATGATTATATACATCAGGCATTGAATGAGGATCCTGCTATCTTCCGACAAGTATATAGAATGTATCCAGATGTGTTTCGTAAGTTATGCATAATTCTTAAAGAAAAAACACCTTTGAAGGATACAAGATTTATTTCCGTTGAAAAAATGCTTGCATCGTTCCTATAAATTATCTGCCAAAATACTCGATATTGTGTAATTCGTAATACATTTGGCCGCTCACAATTTGCTGCAAGTGAAATTTTTCATAAGATTTTGAAGGCCTTGAATTTAATAGCATCTGATTTGATGGTTAAACCGGGATCTACTATGCCCAGTAAATTAAGGGATAGCACAAGGTTTTACCCTTTTTTCAAGGTATGTGATAATTATCTAATCATAACTATTATATTATAATTGTCATTATTATAATATGTATTTTTCATTAATATAATTATTGTTATATATGAATAATTTTAGGATTGCATTGGAGTAATTGATGGTACACATATTCCAGCAATGGTGAGGGGACGAGATATAAGCAGTTATCGTAATCGTCATGGAAAAATTTCACAAAATGTACTAGCAGCTTTAACTTTGATTTGGAATTCATGTATGTTCTTAGTGGTTCAGCTCATGATTCCAGACTACTAACTGATGCTTTAATAAGGAGGAATAGACTTGAAGTGCCCCAAGATAAGCATTTATTTTTAAATAATAATTTTTTTTTTAGTTTTTAATACTAATTTTATATGTATTGTATATATAATTAGGTAAATATTTTCTTGTGGATTGTGAATTTCCCAATCGACGTCAATTTTTAGCTCCATTTCGAGGTGTGCGATATCATCTGCAAGTTTTTACAGGTCATGGTAATGACTCTCACAATGCAAATGAATTGTTCAATCTCCGTCATGCATCATTGAGAAATGTAATTGAAAGGATATTTGACATTTTTAAATCATGATTCACAATTTTTAAGTCAGCACCTCCATTTCTATTTGAAACACAAACAGAGCTTGTGTTAGCATGTGTAGCACTACACAACTTTCTTCGCAAAGAATGTCGTTCAGATGAATTTTCAATTGAATCAATAGATGCATCTTCATATTCAGTAGCACGAGTTAATGAAGAAGATAATTTTCAACCCGTTGGTCAAATCCAAGAGTAGGAACGAGAATATGTTAATGCTTGGAGGACTAGTATAACTCTAGATATGTGAAGAGATGTTGCTTAGTAATTTTGAATGTTTGTTAAAAATTATATTAGATTTTATTGATATGTGGAGAGTTGTTGCTTAGTAATTTTTGAGATAATTTTCAACCCGTTGTTAAGTTTAATTTTTTTTATTAATATCATTGCATTTCTTTGTTATTTGTTTTTATTGACTCTTGTAATTTTGAATATTTGTTAAAAATTCATATAGTTTTTTGAAATCTTATAAATCCATATTGTCCTTTCAAATCTTATGAATTCTATTAAAATCCTTTAAAATCCGATCCTATGAAATCTTGACTGTAAAAAAAGTCTTCTAAAAAAGTCTATAAAGTCTCTCCAATTCTAAAATATCTTTTAAAATCTGTAGAATTTTTTATCTCAAAAAAGTTTTTTAAAATCCTAATCCAATACACCCCCCTAAGTTATGTAAACACTTACCTATTGTTAAAACTAAGTGTCTGTTTAGATGCTCTTATTTTTAATTTCTCTTATTTTTATAAGTAGAAGCTAGGCGATCAAATAAGTTTTGAGAAAAGTTCTTATAATGAAAAATTCTTTTCATGCAATGAAGTAAAAAAGCCAAAAGCTCTTCCTAGTAGCTTTTTTTTTAGTTCTTATTAACTTTTCTTGAATTGTATATTTTTAAAAAAAATAAAAAGACATAAAGATAGAAATTGAAATATGTATTTTAAACTAAAAATTTTATGTAATCAATAAATACCTTTTATTTTTTTTTTAAATTTTAACTTAAAAATAATTCCTAACTTAAAGAAAAGAGAATTCATATAGTCCTTAATTATCCGATTCCATCAGAAAGTTGATGAATATCCTGTCATGCTTATGGAAATGGGTTATAATGGTTCCACGTGATTTTACTTTTAATCCTCTATCAATCTATTATTAAGAAATATAATGTCCTTCAAATGTCACGATAGATCAAGATAGAGTAGTTGCCAGCCTTAAATTAAATCTATGCTAGCAACAACCGTCAAACTTCGGGACTGAATACACTATCTAAGGCTTATTTTTCTGATTTCTCTGATACAAAAGTCCACAACTAAATGATTT